GAATTTATAAAAACTAAATTGTAATATCTCAAAATAACTCATGAAATAAAAGAATAAATTCCAAAACTTATATAAATACTGAGAAAATTTCTCAGCAAGAACAAAGCGTGAGTTTTTATTTGAACTCATAAATATAATAATTCAAAATAATACAAAGACTCGTCAACTCATAGTATTAATTAATTAATCATTCATAAATTTTTATATTATTTTATATGGTTCATGTTCGGAAAACTCATAATTTTATTTAATTATTTATTATTTACTTATTTTCAAATTATGTAATTTATAAATCTTATGTAAATTACAAATCTTAATGTAACTCATAAATTCGTAAAATGATCAGTTTTTGGGGAAAGTAGTTCAAAACTTATAATTTATGAGTTTTTTTAGGTGTAATTTTTTTTTAGCGAAAAAATGTTGTTTTACACTGAAAAAATGTTTAAAATGTTAAAAAATTTTTAAAAACAGCTATCAAGAGGGTAATTAAGTGCAAAATAATTTTTTTACACATATTGATGACTTTTTAATTTATATATTTCGCCAAAAATGTTATGATTAACAAAATATTGAAATAGTACAATAATTCTTGGGATATAACTTTTATTCCATTAAATGTGATATAATAATAATAATAAAGACATTGATAAAAAAAATGAATAAAATGCTCTAAATCAGTGGTAGTCGACATGTAATCACACGGTTCAGTTGATTTTCGCATATATATACCTACATAGGCATACAATCTCTTGAGAGATGCGAAACTTGTATAAGAGAAACTCTATTCTTTGGAAAATAAAAAAGCATTCTTTTTTTGTTATCTCTTTTACGGTTCTACAGATAAAATGGAGATTTTTGTGAATTAGAGAATGATTTATTTTTTAAAACACATTTATCTCTATGTAGTATGTTGTAAAAAAAAACTTTTTAGTTTTATATCGCGCATTTGTTATTGATTCTTTACTTTTTTTTTTAAATTTCACCTTGACGTTTAAACACGGTTGTGTCAATGTCGATGAAGAAAAAAAAAGACAAATGTGAAAAGCGAAGGTTAAGGACATTGTCTACATTATTATGACGCGAGATAATTAGAGGTTCCTTAAAATTGCATTTTTCTGTCGTAATGATAATGGAGATTTATTTTTTTAATGCTATATTACCCCACTTCAGTATAATGTCATATTATCCCACTTCGTCATAATGCCATATTACCCCACTTCATTGTAATGCCATATTACCCCACTTCATCATAATGTCATATTACCCCACTTCATTGTAATGCCATATTACCCCACTTCATTGTAATGTCATATTACCCCACTTCATTGTAATACCATATTACCCCACTTCATTGTAATGCCATATTACCCCACTTTAGTATACTGTCATTTTACCCCACTTCAGTATAATGTCACACTACCCCACTTCATTGTAATGCCATATTACCCCACTTCATCATGTCATATTTATTTATTTCATTGTAATGCCATATTACCCCACTTTAGTATACTGTCATTTTACCCCATTTTCCTATATAGTTACATATTACTCCTACTTTAGAAAAAACATATTCCCCACTTCATTATAGTGAGATGACAGAAATTTTAGAAATTATATATTGCCCCAATTTTAGAAATGACTGATTACCCCAGTTTAATATAGTGACATTACAGAAATTCATAAAAAGTGACTAATTATGCAATTTTATGAAAAAAACCAAACTAAAGGAATTTTGGAAATTAGAAATTGCCCTAATTTTAGAAATGACAGATTACCCCATTATTTAATATAGTGACATTAGAGAAATTTAAAAATGACTGTTTGTGCCATTTTATTAAAGTAAAAAACTACAAAAATTTTAGAAATGACGAAGTACTTTATTTTATTGCAGTGACATATTACTCCATTTGACTGATAAATTTAACACAATGACTGATTACCCGGTTTACAGATTACCCCAGCCATATAACAGAAATTTAAAAAAAACTTAATTATAGTTATACTTAATTATAATTTAATTTTATTAAAGTTACAAACTGCACGAATTTTAGAAATGACGAATTATTTTATTGTAGTGACATATTACCCCAATTCTAGAAATGAAATATTACCTCACTTCATTTTAAGCAAATTTACAAATTTTATCTGTATTTACTATTTAGAAATTTTATTAGTTTGACATATAATGTACAGTTTGAAAATGACTTATTGCCCCAATTGAATAATTACCACATTTTATCATAGTAACATATTAAAAAAAAATTTTTGTATATACTACACGAATTTTAGTTCAACCCATTAATCCTCGCAGAGTTACAAGATTCAAATTTCAAGCAAATCCGATTGACTTTTAATTTTTATTATCCGCCATTTATTTAATTTTGAATTTTTACTCTGACTTAGCAAACGGGACGCATTATTATTCCCCAAATGTCTTTTTTCCGAAATGTCATTTTACCGAATTGCACTTTTGCGAATAGTCATTTTTGCGAAAAGCCAATTTTGCGAAATGTCACTTTTGCGAATTGTCATATTTGCGAAAAGCTATTTTTACGAATTGTCATTTTTGCGAATGACCATTTTTACGAATTGTCAATTTTCCGAAAAGTCATTTTTGCGAATCGCCATTTTTACGATTTGTCAATTTTTCGAAAACTCATTTTTGCGAATTGTCATTTTTACGAAAAGACATTTTTGTGAAATGTCATTTTTGCGAAAAGCCATTATTACGAAAAGTCATTTTTACGAATTGCCATTTTTGCGAATTTGTCATTTTTAAGAAGTGTCATTTTTGCGAATTGTCACTTTTGCGAAACGACATTTTTACGAATCGCCATTTTTACGAATTGTCATTTTTTGCTAATAGTCATTTTTGCGAAAAGTCATTTTTACGAATTGTCATTTTTGCGAATTGTCATTTTTGCGAAAAGCTATTTTTGCGAATTGTCATTTTTGCGAATCGACATTTTTACGAATTGTCAATTTTCCGAAAAGTCATTTTTTTGCGAATTGTCATTTTTGCGAAAAATACAATAGTGAATTTATAGACCTACAAGTTTTCTATTGTATTTTTCGCAAAAATGACAATTCGCAAAAATGACATTTCACAAAAATGTCTTTTCGTAAAAATGACAATTCGCAAAAATGACTTTTCGGAAAATTGACAATTCGTAAAAATGGCGATTCGCAAAAATGACTTTTCGGAAAATTGACAATTCGTAAAAATGGCGATTCGCAAAAATGACAATTCGCAAAAGTGACATTTCGCAAAATTGGCTTTTCGCAAAAATGAGTATTCGCAAAAGTGCAGTTCGGTAAAATGACATTTCGGAAAAATAACATTTGGGGAATAATCATGCGCCCCTTAGAAAACCCAAAATCATAAAAACAGTTTCGGGTTATATGTGGCTAAGTTAATTTTATTACGGATTGTATGCACTTTTCGCACTACTGCTACTCAGCAGACTAGAAGTGCTTCCAAGATTTCACATCGCTCTAATTGCTTGACGTAGATCCGAATCATTTTTTGACGACTTAGGGCATTAGAGGGTATGGTATGAAGAACGCTTAGGCTGCCCTTGGTGCTCTCTTAGGACTAGAACTCTTGCACCTTACTTTTAACCCTCTGCTGATGCTAACTTATCTCCACTCTATCGTCGAAGAAGGTAACTTCCATAGTCCTCACCAGGCACCCAGGCTGATGATTTTTGACGATAACGGTCGTTAGCATCAGCAGAAAGTTAAAACAGTGTCGGCAAAGGCTACCCTTAGACTTGGTGCCTCTGAAGGCTCCCAGCAAATAGTGATATCTAAAGGATCAAAACGAAAAAGTAGATTCGGTGCAGGAGTCTATCACATAACTTCTCTAACGTGCCACTTGAACAAGTTAGGGTTTACTGATTATTACAATCCGAAATCATGGCGATTGAGGCTTTTTGTTGTTGAGTTATTGAGGTTTGCCATGAGACACTCAATAGACTGGAATTAACCGCGTTACTCTTCTTTGGGTCCCTGGTCAAAGTGGATTCATTGGTAATGATAAAGCGGATAAACTATAGCCAAAGCAAGTGCTAGAGAACAATTTACTCTGAGTCTACAATTTTGGTGTTTCTGACAAATGCTTGGCCCAGGATGGCCCAGGAATTCAAACAGTGTCTGACAACAAAGTATCAGAAGGAAAGGCAGGCGAGGACTACAGATCACCTAAAACATTCATGGGAAACACTATAAATCCCATAAATCCATAATCCCATAAGCGAAATTCCATAAAAATTAATAGGAGAAACTTTACAACCTAATAAATTCTTTAGATTTTCTTTAGAAGCGTAAAAAAGAAAAACTAAAGAGTTTATTATTTAAAAACCACTATTCGAAAAGACTCCAAAAGATTAGACCATTCCTTTCTCGATTATTTTTAGACGACGTGAATTTTTAATTATCTTGATATTCCAAGGAAATAGTTATAAGGCATCTATAGTGAAAGTTGACGAATAATACATGTGAAGTTCAGTCGAAAATTTTGGACACCATCCAAGTCATCGATCTTGGATGAAAATTTCAAATGTCCCAGAATTGTAAACGAGGTCACAGTTGATGCAATATTCTCACAGATTAGTGTACGCATTAATTAAATAGCAATTTCTGATTGTAACTTGGTTTTAATTGATTTTCACCAACTTTGCAGTTTGTCAGTTCATGAGAACTGCTTCAACACCGCAATTAAATTTTTCCCAAATAGTCATTTTTGTTAAATTTAGATACCATTTAAAATACTTTTAACTATTTTAAGAAATCTCAAGCGTTAGGAGACTAATTAAGATTTATTACTCTGAAAGAGTGATATTACTGTAATTGATTACTGAATAAATATTTTCAATTTGAGTACTGATCTGCTTTACTGCTTTTTAAATAAAATTTTTGCTAAATTGGGATTTATTTTAATGCACCAACTGAAGCATGCAATAATTAAAGAATTAAAATGGCTGATTTTGCACCTGCAGGTTAATTCCCTCACTTGTGTCTCTCCTTCAATGTTCGCTTGAGAGGGTGTGATAATATTTTTCGAAAATCAAAAATTGGACTGATGACCCTAATAGACGATTTCTGATATTCCTTTGAGAATGTTTTTGAAATGATAAAGTTTTGCGCATGAACGGAATTATAACTGAAAGAAAGGAGTCAATGTCGCTAGAAGGAGGCTTACCCTAATAAGCGATCACGGCGAGCATAACAAACGCGATCTCTGGGATGCTAAGGTCCCCAGCACGTGGGGGCCTGGCAATCCTGGAATCATCGTCTTCTACAACCAACTCGGCACCGTCAACGCCCATTCATAACTCCACAACCAGTTCCTCAAGCACCGCCTCGCGTCTCTCACTACTCGACTCCTGCCACAGGAAGATCCGCTTCTTCGGTGAATTGGTCGCGTGAGTTTTCACATTCTTTTTTTTTCCTTTAAATTTAGAGAAATAATTAGGAATTTTTTTTTAATGTCGAGGAGAAATGAAATTTGTTGAATGCTTAAGCGCATCATTTGCTTTATAGAGATTGAATTATTGTCATTGCTATCATTTCGAGGAATGTTGCTCTGCGCTGCTTTTTGATTCTTCTCATAATACGATTCGGGGTTGGCCATTCATTTATCTACCGCGTGTCGTAAAAGGTGACTAAAGGGGACATGGAAATAACGCGCTAGAATCATCAAAACGTCTAAAAGAGGGATTCTGGATTTTCTTCCGAGAAATAAAGTTCTTGTTGAATATTATCGTTTTTCTAGGTCGACATCATGGCGTATAGTTGTCTAGGTATCTTGAAAATAATTTTTTCAATAAAACTTAGGTTTGTGGGAAATAATTCTAATTCCAAGCTGACATAAGAAATCATTTCTAGGGGTTTGCCTAAATCTTCTTACCCGACGGGATTTAGGAACAAATGTATAAATATGAAGAAAAGATAGTTACAAATTCTTTCAATTAGTTATTGAAAAATTACTTTAAATATATAAAATGCTTTTTAAATGTTTTTTTCCAAGCTGTTAATTCTGTACAAAAATTAACTGTCTTTGTCTCAAATAGTTCGATTTGTAAAATTCGCCACGCAGTGTCACCATTCATAATAATCTACCGCGTGTCGAAAAAGGCGACTAAAGAGGAGATGGAAATAACGCGTTAAAATCATCAAAACGTCTAAAAGAGTGATTCTGGATTATCTTTAGAAAAATAACGTTCTTGTGTAATATTATCGTTTTTTTAGGTCGACATCATGGCGTATAGTTGTCTAGGTATCTTGAAAATAATTTTTTCAATAAAACTGCGGTTGGTGGGAAATAATTCTAATTCCAAGCTGACATAAAAAATCATTTCTAGGGGTTTGCCTAATCCTGACGGGTTTTGAGGATATAGAATCGAAACTTGTTTAATTAAATTTCGAACAGAAGGATAAATATGAAGAAAAAATATTCATTTATTCATAATCTACCGCGTGTCGTAAAAGGCGACTAAAGGGGATATGGAAATAACGCGCCAAAATCATCAAAACGTCTAAAAGGGTGATTCTGGATTATCTTTAGAAAAATAAAGTTCTTGTGGAATATTATCGTTTTTCTAGGTCGACATCAAGGCGTATAGTTGTCTGAGCATCTTGAAAATAATTTTTTCAGTAAAACTATGGTTTGTGGAAAAAAATTCTAATTCCAAGCTGACATAAATATCATCTCTAGGGGTTTGCCTAAACCTGGCGGGTTTCGGGGATACAGAATCGAAACTTGTTCAATTAAATTCCAAACAGATAAATATGAAGAAAAGATATTGTTACGAATTCTTACAATTAGTTATTGAAAAAATACTGTAAATATTTAAACTGTTTTTTAAATGTTTTTTTAACTGTTAATTCTATACAAAAATTAACGTTCTGTCTTTGTCTCAAACAGTCAGATTAGTAAAATTTACCGCACTCAGTAAGTGTCACGTATTCAACTATGCACATTATTTTTTAATTTGTAAAAAATTAACAATAATATTGTATCTGCGTCTCGTTAATATCATGTTATAATAATGTTAATAATTCGCCTTTTTGAAAAAAAAGTTTCTTTTTAAAAAAATAGAAATGGAGCTGTATTTAAATTTTATATGCTTAACACGCGTCATTTCATTCTGCTTTACACGCTTAATTGCAGATAAATGAAATTAATAAATTTTTTTTAACTCATAATAAAAAATATTTTAGATACTTTTTTTGTTTTCAATTCATTGAAAAAGAAAATTTTTTGAAAAGGTTAAGTTATGTTTGCCGAATCTTAATCAAGAAAAAACTCCTCAAATATTAAAGAATGTACAAAAAATGTGTAGCGTTGCATGATTTCACTATGAGAGCAATCTTTTATTGCCGGTAATTAAAGATTTTTATTCTTTTAACTTTTTTAGTATTTTTCTTTTCAGAATGAATACAGTGCAAATTATTTCTCTTTGATAAACTATTAGTTTTTTATTTTTAAAAAAGTATGGAATTAAGTTTTATAAACTTTATTCTTTGAATTAAATTTATTTTTGGTTAACCCACTGTTACCTCACAAATATTTTAGAATTAAATGAAATAAATAATTAATAGATTAAATTGTCAATAAATTTTAGGCTACATTGGAGTTGCATTTTTAAATTACAAAATTTTCATACAAATTAATCGAAAATTAAAATTAATCAATATAATAATTTAAGTATTTATTTGTCAGGGAATTTCAAGATTATTTTCTTGAAAATAAAAAAATTCTAAGGTTTTCAGGATCAATGAAAATGAATCCGACGTTAGATTTTCAAAATTCAAAATGGCGAATTAAATATGGCGGACGTTAAATCTAAATTCAATGTTAGATTTTAAAAATTAAAATAAAATTATTATTATTATTATTATTATTATTATTATTATTATTATTATTATTATTATTATTATTAATTTTTATAAATAGTAATATTTTTTGCAAAAAACTCAATTATTTTTAAACAAAATTTTAATATAAAATTTCGCGAACGAATACTATTATTTTCTAAAATTTTAATAAACTTTCGAAACAATTCAATTATTTTCAAAAAAATTCCACCAAAGAATTCAATTTTGTTCTCAATTCGTTATGAAATCTTTGCAAAAATTCAATTATTTTCAAATTAATTTCACTTAAGAATTCAATTATTTTTAAAAATTTTAATAAATTCTCCAAAAAATTTCAATTATGTTTATAAATAGTAAAATTTCTTGCAAAAATTCAATTATTTTTAATACAATTTTAATAAAATTTTTATGAAAGAACTTAATTTTTTTTAATAATATTTTTCGAAAAATTAAATTATTTTTTATAAAGAGTAAAATCTTTGCAAAAATCCAATTATTTTCAAAAGAATTTCACGAAAAAATTAAATTATTTTTAAAAATTTTAATGCATTCTTTACAAAAATTCAATTATTTTTTAAAATTTTAATAAATTCTTATCGAAACAATACAATTATTTTTTTAAATAGTAAAATCATAGCAAAAATTCAATTACTTTGAATAAAATTTTAATATAATTTTAATAAAATTTCATGGAAGAATTCATTTCTTATTTAATAATATTTAATTTCGAAAAATTCAATTATTTTAAAAAATTTTAATAAATTCTTCAAAAGAATTCAATTATGTTTATAATTATATTAAAATTCTTTGCAAAAATTCAATTAATTTTTAATATTTTAATAATTTTCGAAACAATTCAACTATTTTTTTTAAATAGTAAAATTCTTTGCAAAAATTTAATAATTGTATATTCAAAAAAATGTTATGAAAGAATTCAATTTTTTTCTTAAATTCGTTATAAAATTTTTCAAAAGAATTCAATTATTTTCTAAGATTTTCATAAAATTCAATAATTAAATGTTCAATTTCAATTATATTAACAATCACGATTATTTGAAAAAGTTGAAAAAAATTGTTCATAAAATTAAATTATTTTCAAAATTTTTAAATTAGAATTATTAAAGAAACTTTAAATTCTATTAAATTACAAATTTTTTTATAAAATTCTTGGCGACAATAATTCGATGATTTTCAAATATATTAATTTTAAAATTGAAAATATTTTCAAAAGAAAAATTATTTTAAAAATTAAGAAACAAAAAGGCAAACAACAACTAATTTTCAAACTGTGAATAGAATACCAGATTACAACGATTATTAATATAGATTTTTAAATTTCAAAATGGCGTATCCAAAATGGCGGATGGCAAAAAGAAAAACAAATCGGAATGACTTGGAATTTGTTACTTAGGGGTTTCTATAGTCGCTGAATCTAAATTTAATGTCAGATTTCCAAAATTCAAAATGGCGGATCCAATATGGCGGATGGCTAAATCAAAATGACTTCGAATTTGCTACTTTGGGGTTTCTAAAGTTTCTGTATATAAATTTAATATTAAATTATGAAAATTTAAAGTGGCGGATTTATGTCAGATTTTAGAAATTCAAAATGGCGGATCAAATATGGCGGATGACAAAATTTGCCAATTAAAGTTCAAATTTCGAAAACATATTTCTTTATTTGCATATATATTTCTAAAATTTGGTGGACCTAGACATTTTTTATTTTAAGAATAAAATTGTGATATAAAATCTTTTTGAATTGATTGTTTTTAATTTTTACTAAAAGTGAATAACAAATTGATTAACAAAAAAAAAAAAAAAAAAAAAATTCTACATTTTTTATTGGGTTATTTTCTTTTTTTGTAGAAAAGCCAGACGAAAGGATAAGGATGCGGGAACTACTGAGGATCCAAAATTATACTTGGAGGAAGCCGTCCTTGAAAGGCAACTTCCTGAACTCGACTTAAAAGTACTGGTTGACCTGCCACCAGGGCTAGATTATAACGAATGGCTAGCCTCACACACATTAGCACTTTTCGATCACATCAATCTCATTTATGGCACTATTTCCGAATTTTGCACCATGACCGGATGTCCCGACATGACTGGTCCTGGATTAAGGTAATTTTCTTTCTTCTTCTTCTTCTTCAAAAAAATATATTTTCTTTTTCTTTTTTGTAATTTTTTATTTTTTCAACAGATTTTTTGTTTTTTTTTTAAACAAAAAAAAAAAGAATCTTAGAAACTAAAATAAAATTCTTTTAGAATTCAAAAATAATACATTTTTTAGAGGCAAACATTTTCGGGTCGCATTAGATTTTCAAAATTCAAAATGGCGGACGAAAGAATTAAAAATGAATCAGATTGCCCATTTAAAATTAAATACATAAAAGAATAAAAAATACTTGTTTATTTATTTTACTTGGAATTAATCAAGTTTTTTAAAATAAATTCAACTATTTCATTTAGAAATAGTTTAATTTTCATTTATTTATTTTTCGTTAATTTTTTTTCAAATTAATTTTTAATTTACAATGTAGAAAAATAAAAAATTTACTTTCAATTTGTAAATTAATTTTCAATTTTAAACTGAAATTAAATTTTTTATTTTTAAATGAAATTAAATTATACAGAAAAAAAGGATAAATTTTTTTTTTGCCAAATTTCTGACAAATTTTAGAAAAAAAAAGTTTGTAAAAATTTTTAAATTACAGCGAATTGTTTTCAAAATATACATTTTATGTTAAGATTAGAAAACTTAAAATATTAAAAGGATTTCAAAATAATTCTTTCAGATTTTTTCTTTTTTTCATTTTTCTTCGCTTAAAATTAAAATTTAGGTTTCAGTAATGATTTTTTGTAAATAGATTATTTCTGTAGGTAATTTTTTATGTAAATATGCAAATTTTGTTTAAATTTCTTTTCAGTTTATGAAATATTAAATTATTATCATTATTATAAATAATAATTTTTTTTAGAAATAGAGATTAAAAAAAGACTTTTTATTCCTTACTTTTATTTCATTATTGTTATATATTTATTTCTATTCTTAAAATTATAGATACAAGTAATTTTTATATTATTAATTTATATAATTATGTGTATTAATTAGATAAAAATATTTTTTCCTTAGTTATCGTAAATGTATTTTCTGTTCTTTTCTTTTATATTTAAATTTCTTTTAATTTAACTTGAAAATTTATCAAATTTTCTTTTCTTCACAGAACTTATTTATGGTTTGACGAGAAAGGGAAAAAGACGAGAGTGGCTGCGCCACAATACATTGACTATGTGATGACTTTTACCCAACGCACCGTCAGTGACGAAACGATATTTCCTACCAAATACGGTAAGTTTTAATTTTCATTTTTCTTATTTATTTCTCTATTGTTTTTGAAATTAAAAAAAAAATTTTTATCTTAAAAAAAATTAAACTTTTAATAACGAAAAAATGATTCCAATTAAAAATACAAAAAATTTGAAGAGAATTTTGGTGAAAAAATGTCGAATTAAAATTATTTTTTAGAAAAAATTTCTTAAAATTTATTTTTCAGATTAAAGAGTAATTACTTTCAAATTATAAAATATATTGTTAGAATTAAAATTGTATTTAAAAATAAAATTAATGGAACTTTCTTGTCCGTTAAAATTCAAATATAAAATAAATAGGATAAAAATTGTAATTTTCCAAAATTTTAAATTATTTTTAAAAATAAAATATTTATAATTTTTTGCAATAAAAATTGTAATTTGAAAAAAATTAATTTCTTTTTAAATAATACAGGGCTCGGATCGACTTTAAGACTCAAAAAAAAAGTCGCTTTAGTCGCATAAATTCACAACAAAAGTCACGAAAAGTCGCATAAAATTTGCAAAAAAGTCGAAAAAAGTCACATTTCCTTAGAAAAGTCGAAAAAAGTCGAAAAAGTCGCACAATCCAAGCCCTGATATAAAGATGAAAAAAATACGAAATAATAAGTTTATAGAAAGTTATATAAAGGAAAAAAAATATCTATTATAAAAAAAAGTTTTCTGTTAAAAAAAAATGTTAATTTTTCTATTACTTTATTTTCAGCGAATGAATTTCCCAGCTCGTTTGAGTCGATAGTACGTAAAATCCTGCGGCTACTTTATCACGTGATGGCCCACATTTACCACTGCCACTTTCGAGAGGTGGCATTACTTGGGCTGCATGTACATCTCAATTGTGTTTTTGCCCACCTCACTCTTCTAAATCAACGCTTTAGCCTCATCGATCCGAAGGAAACGGAAATCCTCGGTGACTTAGAAGCTGCCCTTTTAGGTAGGTTTCGCCTACAGAATGACAAACCCGCCACGATTAACTCCTACTTTTTTCTATTCTTCATTTTCAAAAATTGCACAAAAAAAGTCTACACCACGGATTTTTAAATTTTACCTAGTGTTTATTTTCCAATACAGTATTCATTTTTTTTACTTTTGATAAATTATTTTCTTAGAATGAGTCGTTAAGTTATTTATTACAATCGCTCTCTATTTGTGCCTCGAAAAAATTTTACATTCAAAATTAAATAATTAAAGAAACTATTTTTACAATGTAAGATCAAAATTAGAATAAATATTTTATTGAAAATTACAAAAAATGGTATAATTTTTATAAATTATTAACGAATAATCACCCGTTTATAAATAAATAATAAATAAATAAATAATTCACTAAATTTACGAAATAAATTTAAAAAGAAAGAACGAAATAGTTCTTTTTGGAATAAAATTTATTCGCATGACACGAGAGAAACTTTACGTATTAAACAATTTTTTGTTTCCATATTTTCACAAGAATAGTTTTTCAAGTTTTTCTTTTTATTCAAGTAATTTTTTTTTTTAGTTTAATAATTAATATTTAATTTTCTTCTATTTATGAATATTTTAATTTTATTCAATATAAATAATTTAAAAATAATGTTTTCGAAAAAAATTATAGTAGGAAAAAATTTGATTTTACAACATCACTTTTGCAATTTTTAACCTAAGAAGTTAAAATTTGGTATAATTGAACGTAAAAGAAAATTAATCTCGTTAAACTGAATGTTATCATGAGTAAAATTGCTTTCACCATTCTCGTTAACATTTACCAAGAAAATTCAATCAAAAATTTGAATTTAACTCCGAAAAAAGTGGAGAAAAATTACCAGAAAATTTCATTAGCGAAAAATATCACAAATTATTTAGAAAAAAAATTAATATTCTTATTTGTCAATAAAACGTTCTAAATAAAGATACAAACAAATTGGAATAAACAAAAAAGTATTTTCACAATCTGGAAAATTTAATTAAAAAATTAATTATACTGCAAAAATGTAATTTTTTATCGACAAAATTTCATTTCAAGAAAAATACAGAAAGAAACGAAAAAATATTGATTTCTCCATTATTCAATGTTCTCAAAGATATTTTTAGTAAATTTAAAGATAGACATCGAAGATTAGATTTAAAAAAAAGTCCGAGAATTATGCCAATAAATTAATTTCTTAAAAAGAAATTATTCTTATTTTTAGAATTTAATTCAAGATTTGTTTAGAAATAAGGAAAATAATTTGTAATATTTTATGAAATTTATTTGATATTCAAAATTTAGTGGTAAAGAATTTATTACAATTATGTCTTACATATATAAAAAGGAAGGAGATGTTAGAAATTTTTAATTACCTGACAGAAAAATAGAGAATTTTCTATATTTTAAAAAAAAAGTTATTTTCGAAATTTTTTCATGAATTTTTTAACAAACTAATAAATTAGAAAAAATTCTCGAAAAGTTTATTGAAAATAAAAAAAAAATGTTTTTAAAAAATTTACAGTCGTTTTTGTTAGAACGTATGTACCAAAAAAACGGCTACTGTTAACATTTTTTTTGTTTGGGAAAAATTTTGAATAGAGAAAACAAAATTTTATTCACATTAAAAAAAAGTTTTATAAATTTCCCAAACCTAATTAAAAAGAATTAAAACAAAGACATTGAAATTTTGCAGTAATTTTCGGTTTTATTTTCTTTTCTAATTAAGAAAAATTAACACAAGGATATTAATATTTTGCAGTAATTTTTAATTTTTCTCATTTTTTAAGTAAAAAGAATTATAATTATAATTTTAAAAAATTAACACAAAGATATTAAAATTCTACAGTAATTTTCAGTTTTTTTCATTTTTTCATTAAATAGAATTAACACACAAAGATATTAAAATTTTACAGTAATTTTAATTTTACTATTTTTATAGTAAAACATTTCTGGTTGAGCATTTTTGGTAACTTTTACTATACTTTCGAAGTAAATTTTGCTACGTTCGAAGTAAATTTTACTAACTTTTACAAATATGTTCTTTGGACGTAGTAAAATTTACTCCGAAAGTAGTAAAAGTTACCAAAAATACTTAACCAACAATGTTTTACTATAAAAGTAGTAAAAATTACTTTATATGTTTCTCCTGCGCAAGTATAAATTTTTTTTGCACAATTTAGTGAAATTAAAATTGAATAAGAACATTGATTTAGTTTCAAATAATTATCAAATAAGTAAAATTTGCAACCTACAATTTATACATTATATTTTACACAAAAATGTTAAATTAAGTAATTTGAATAAACTCAGAAATTAATAATTATAAATAATAAATAAACTTTATATAAAAATAAATTTAAAAACAATAATTTGAAAGTAAGTGTGAAAATCTTGGTTTACGTCAAAAAAAATATTTCACAGTTTAAAAGTTAAAATTGTTAAAAAATCACCGAATGATAAATACAAAATTAAACAGTAATAAGTTCATATTAAATAATATTATGAAAAATAGAAATAAACTGACAATGCGAAAATGAAATACAAGTTATAAATTACAAAACCAAGTTTTTAAAATAAAACAAGAAAATTGAAACCTTTAGAAATAATTAATTACAAATGAAGAAATAGAAGATTTATAACTTTTGAAAATTGTCATTTATTCCCTTCTGCAAAATAGGAAAAATGAATTTTATCCCTTACTTCCGAACTCAAAAATAAAACGTCCTTCAACTGTAAAAACGTAATGGAAATAAATAAAGAATATCCTCACAAAGAATTGAAATGTCTATAGAAAAGTAGGGGGAAATTTAAGGAAAAGGAAAATTGTTTCACAAGAAAAGAATAATCCTTGATAAAAATATTATTTTTTCTTTGAAACATAAAATAAAATGAAAATGGAGTAAAAATTAAGGGCATATTTTGTGATTTTAAATTTTGATTATAGTAAATAATTGAAGACCACTCAGAACGCTCAAACTCCCATTACTATTTGCACAAACTGCAAATAGCGAACGATCCTCGAGTACTGGAAAAATCATAAGAATGATCTCGCCAGCAGCCTCTCACGCTCAGAGAGAAGAGCTACTGCTCATCATCGTGGCTGCATCGACTCCACTTTTGGGTAGAGAGGACGTGAAGATATACTACAGAAATGATCCTGTGAAGTATGATCTTGTCTTTTCGTCGTTTCGCCTCGACTTATATACTACTCGAAACGCGTCTCGCCTGCGAGAGAACTCACAAGAGGCCCTCTGTCGAGCGCCACTCCAACACCCTCCCCCCACCACTTTCCACGCGCCAAATTCAAATTCAGAGCAAATGACAAATTTTCCGCATTTCGCTCAGAAACATTTTAATCACTTTTCAAAAAAAAATGATAACATCTTGGAAAACTATTATTATATTATTTTTATTAGAAAAATATTTTTCTTCACACTTCAATTCTTATCATTTTAAGTTAAAAAATTTTTTATGAAAATAAAATTCCCGAAGATTCTCTAAAGTATTTTTGCAATAATTGTAGAAATAAAATAAACAGTTAAACATTTATTTATTTTGTAAGTTAATTGATAAATTCTATTAATTCCCGTAGTTGGAACAATATTTTTATTTATTTATTGATATTAAAAACAGTATGTGAACAATGTTTTTTATTTAATAATTAACTTTTTTTATTTTTTAACCCTTGTCATTATTTGATAAACAATATTTTTTCCTTTTTTTTATTTTTTGAAATTATTGTTATGGAAAGAAAAAAAACAATTAAAATTCTGTTTTAAGTATATTATTTTCATTAGTTTAAATGTAGACTTTGTATTATACCGATTAAATTAAATATTTTTAAAATCGTATTTTTTTCTAATATTTAAAATTATTTTAAGAAGAATCGGATGGACGGGAAAAAAGTTTTAACCGATTTCTATTTTTTTTTAGAGGAAAATGGTAGATGGTCACTTTTTCTAAAAATTATTTTCGAATCCTTTTTGTCTAAAAAAAAGCGATTTTGTAATGAAATCTGCTTTCTTCAAAAATGTTTATCTAACAAATTTTGATTTCTAAAAAAAGTTTTTCTAACATATTTTGATTTCTAAAAAAATTGTTCTAAAAAGTGTTTTTGAGAGTTTTCTAATATTTATTTTCCTAAAATTTGTAAAATTTCATAATTTTGACAAAAGTTTGAAAATTGATAAAAAAAAAAAAGATCAAGAAATAAAAACTATTTTTCATATTTTCTGTTTCTCAATCACTACAATTCTGTTTACAAAATTATATGTTTCTTTTTTGAAAAAGAAGAAAAAATTTTATAAAATTACTATTTTTTATCCTAATTTGTTAACAAAATTTGATTCTTCTTTTAAAAAAACCAATAATTTGCATCATTTTTACACCAAAATTTCCAAAACTTATTTTTATATAAAACATTTTTTTACAAAATATTGTTAAACATTTTTTTTTTTTTTTGAAAATGACCTTAATTAGAAAAAAGTTTTACAAAAATTCACCTTTATTATTAGAAAAAATATTTGTAGAAAATACGTTTTAGAAAAACTGTACATCTTAGCAAGTAAAATGCTTTTTATAGTCAATTCTGTAAAATCATTTTCAGTTTTGTGTTAATTTTTTAATAATAAATTTGAATTATTTTTTAAGCTTTTGTTTCATTGTTTGAAATAATAAAAATATTCTTGAAATTTTATAAAATGAAAATATTTTAAACATTTTTTTATTTCGATGGTTTAAAACTTATTTTGAATCACATTAAACAAAATGAAAGGAATTTAAAAACTTTCTAAATTATTAATTATTGTAAAATTTTATAAAATAACAATGATTTAATGATTGTCTAAAATAATAATTAATCGAAAATTATATAATTGTAATATAAAATTATGTACTAGAAAAATTTTTTTTAATTTTATAAATATCTACATTAAAAATTTTATTATAAATAAAAATTAATTGAAAATCCATTCAAAAGTTCATTGAAATTAAAAATTATTAAAAATTATTTCGAAATGGAAATTGATTGAAAGTTTTTTTTTATGAAACAAAAATTATTCTATAAATATACTTATAAAGATATGTATACACATTTTTTCACTTTAAAACTAAAGTTTTCTGCTTTTTCTTTGTTTTCTGTTTCTATATGAATATTTTATGTTTATGGCATTTAAAAAAAATTTATCTTGAGATCTCTCTTTTACTAAATTCTTTGAAACTTCTGCTGTCATATGTAATATTAAATTAGAGATAAAAGTTTTGTCCCATGAGATTTTTTTCCATTTTGCGCAATGCAAGACAAATTTCATGTCAACTATGAAAAAGCTCTATTTCATATTCAAGACGTTTCAAATTGTATGAAATCTTTATAATAATTCTATAAAAGTATATATGTTTTTTTCTCTACAAATGTTAAAATTATCAACAAAAATTTTTTTAAATCAAAGAAATATTTCTTTCAAAATAATAAATAATACAATTTTTTTTAAATTTAACAAATATTTAAAAAATTGTTTTACTTATTGTTTATTTCATTATTTATAATTGAATTTTATCTTTATTTTATAATAAAAAATATTTATAAATCTAACGTTAGAAAATAATTTTGCAAACTCTCCACTTTCATATTGTTTTTATATTATTTTTTTATTTTATTATTTTATTTATTTATATTAATAATATTAATATTTTTTTTCATTATTTAACAATTTATATTGTTTAATTTCCAAAATCCATAAAATTCAATTTTTTCCTCAAGAAAATTTTTCATTATCTAATTCATTATCCTCTAAAAAAAATAGAAATCGGTTAAAACTTTTTTCCCGTCCATCCGATTCTTCTTTAAATAATTTTAAATATTAGAAAATAATACGATTTTAAAAATATTTAATTTAATCGGTATAATACAAAGTATACATTTAAACTAATGAAAATAATATACTTAAAACAGAATTTTAATTGTTTTTTCTTTCCATAAAAATAATTTCAAAAAATAAAAAAGGAAAAAAATATTGTTTATCAAATAATGACAAGGGTTAAAAAATAAAAAAGTTAATTATTAAATAAAAAACATTGTTCACATACTGTTTTTAATATCAATAAATAAATAAAAATATTGTTCCAACTACGAGAATTAATGGAATTTATCAATTAACTTACAAAATAAATAAATGTTTAACTGTTTATTTTATTTCTACAATTATTGCAAAAATACTTTAGAGAATCTTCGGGAATTTTATTTTCATGAAAACATTTTTTAACTTAAAATGATAAGAATTGAAGTGTGAAGAAAATTATTTTTCTAATAAAAATAATATAATAATAATTTTCCAAGATGTTATTATTTTTTTGAAAAATGATTAAAATGTTTCTGAGCGAAATGCGGAAAATTTGTCATTTGCTCTGAAATTGAATTTGGCGCGTGGAAAGTAGTGGGGAGAGCGTTGGAGTGGCGCTCGACAGAGGGCCTCTTGTGAGTTCTCTCGCAGGCGAGACGCGTTTCGAGTAGTATATAAGTCGAGGCGAAACGACGAAAAGACAAGATCATACTTCACAGGATCATTTCTGTAGTATATCTTCACGTCCTCTCTACCCAAAAGTGGAGTCGATGCAGCCACGATGATGAGCAGTAGCTCTTCTCTCTGAGCGTGAGAGGCTGCTGGCGAGATCATTCTTATGATTTTTCCAGTACTCGAGGATCGTTCGCTATTTGCAGTTTGTGCAAATAGTAATGGGAGTTTGAGCGTTCTGAGTGGTCTTCTATTATTTACTATAATCAAAATTTAAAATCACAAAATATGCCCTTAATTTTTACTCCATTTTCATTTTATTTTATGTTTCAAAGAAAAAATAATACTTTTATCAAGGATTATTCTTTTCTTGTGAAACAATTTCCTTTTCCTTAAATTTCCCCCTACTTTTCTATAGACATTTCAATTCTTTGTGACGATATTCTTTATTTATTTCCATTACGTTTTTACAGTTGAAGGACGTTTTATTTTTGAGTTCGGAAGTAAGGGATAAAATTCATTTTCCCTATTTTGCAGAAGGGAATAAATGACAATTTTCAAAAGTTATAAATCTTCTATTTCTTCATTTGTAATTAATTATTTTTAAAGGTTTCAATTTTCTTGTTTTATTTTTAAAACTTGGTTTTGTAATTTATAACTTGTATTTCATTTTCGCATTGTCAGTTTATTTCTATTTTTCGTAATATTATTTAATATGAACTTATTACTGTTTAATTTTGTATTTATCATTCGGTGATTTTTTAACAATTTTAACTTGTAAACTGTGAAATATTTTTTTTGACGTAAACCAAGTTTTCCACACTTACTTTCAAATTATTGTTTTTAAATTTATTTTTATATAAAGTTTATTTATTATTTATAATTATTAATTTCTGAGTTTATTCAAATTACTTAATTTAACATTTTTGTGTAAAATATAATTTATAAATTGTAGGTTGCAAATTTTACTTATTTGATAATTATTTGAAACTCAATCAATGTTCTTATTCAATTTTAATTTCACTAAATTGTGTAAAAGAAATTTATACTTGTGCCGGAGAAACATAAAGTAATTTTTACTACTTTTATAGTAAAACATTGTTGGTTAAGCATTTTTGGTAACTTTTACTACTTTCAAGGTAAATTTTACTACGTCCAAAGAACATATTTGTAAAAGTTAGTAAAATTTACTTCGAACGTAGCAAAATTTACTCCGAAAGTATAGTAAAAGTTACCAAAAATGCTCAACCAGAAATGTTTTACTATAAAAATAGTAAAATTAAAATTTACTGTAAAATTTTAATATCTTTGTGTGTTAATTCTATATTTAATGAAAAAATGAAAAAAAACTGAAAATTAATGTAAAATTTTAATATCTTTGTGTTAATTTTTTGAAATTATAATTATAATTCTTTTTACTTAAAAAATGAGAAAAATTGAAAATTACTGCAAAATTTTAATATCCTTGTGTTAATTTTTCTTAATTAGAAAAGAAAATAAAACCGAAAATTACTGCAAAATTTCAATGTCTTTGTTTTAATTCTTTTTACATAGGTTTGTGAAATTTATAAAACTTTTTTTTGAGTGTGAATAAAATTTTGTTTTCTCCATTCAAAATTTTTCCCAAACAAAAAAAAATGTTAACAGTAGCCGTTTTTTTGTTACGTTCTAACAAAAACGATCGTAAATTTTTTAAAAACATTTTTTTTTATTTTCAATAAACTTTTCGAGAATTTTTTCTAATTTATTAGTTTGTTAAAAAATTTATGAAAAAATTTCGAAAATAACTTTTTTTTTTTAAATATAGAAAATTCTCTATTTTCCTGTCAGGTAATTAAAAATTTCTAACATCTTCTTCCTTTTTATATATGTAAGACATAATTGCAATAAATTCTTTACCACTGAATTTTGAATATCAAATAAATTTCATAAAATATTACAAATTATTTTCCTTATTTTTAAACAGATCTTAAATTAAATTTAAAAATAAGAATCATTTCTTTTTAAGAAATTAATTTATTGGCATAATTCTTGGACTTTTTTTTAAATCTTATCTTCGATATCTATCTTTAAATTTACTAAAAATATATTTGAGAACATAGAATAATGGAGAAATCAATATTTTTTTCGTTTACTTTTGTGTTTTCTTGAAATTAAATTTTGTAGATAAAAGTTACATTTTTGCAGTATAATTTTTTCGATAAAAGAAAAAAAAAAAATTATATTCGAATTTGGTTTGGAAATATTTTTCCACAATATTCTCATGATATTGAAGTACTTTTAATTTTTTTTAGTAAAAAAAATAGTTTAGGAGAAAAAGAAATATTAAAAAAAAATTTTTTTGTATTAAATTGTTGCTTTGTTTTTAATTTTCTTATAAAAACAAAAATAGTGAACAATATGATAAATATTAAATACCATGAAATTTTTCAGGTGATTCATCATCAGCGCCTTCACAAACAACGGCCCTTCAGGAAACTTCAACAACGGCCACGACCACTTAGTGGATAATTTCAACATCATAGGTTTGCAGTTCCTGAGACTAAGTGATGCTACTAGTATGATTATTAATTTTTTTTTTCAAAAAAAAAGAAAAAATAAAAAAAAAATTTACAAAAAAAAATATCCAGAAAATTAAAAATTCTAAAAAATTGATTTGCGCGCTTGATGCTTGCAGCGTGTGATCCTGTAAAAAAAAAGAAAAGAACGCGTGGATTATTATTGAAGAGAAAAAAAAAATTTTAGCAATACCTGTAAATATAGCAAAGTGTGAAATTTACAATGTAAATTAGGTTCCTTTGTTTGTTGTTTGTGAAATTGTAAATAATTTATTAAATGGTATAAGATATACGAGAGATGCGAGAGGACAAGAAAAAAAATACGAACGATTATTGTCAATAAAAAAAAAAAAAAAGTTAAATAATTTGTGAATAGAAATTAAGTGCGTGTTTTTTGTGTGAATGTGAAAATATTTGCGAGAAAGAGTCAAATTTGTTCTTGTATAAAAGAGAGGAAATAATGAAATGATAATTAATATTGTAAAGTTAAAACTAAACCAAATATATACCTGGTTGTTAATAAAGACTAAAGGGATCAGGAAAGTTATTTATTTGACTCCAAAAAAGCTAACAAAAAATTAAATTAAATTCTTAAGTAAAAATATATTTTTTAAACAATATTTTTCATTTTTAAAAAATTTTTTATTTTATAATCAATTTTTTTTTTTTAATTCATTAATGTTTTTTCTGTAATTTATTGATAAAACTTGTTTTTTTATCAAATATTTACTTTTTTGTTTCAAAAATTTTTAATTTATTGCATAAAAATTATTAGATAAATAAAATATTGTATTTTCTTTTAGGGAGAAAAGTAAGACATTTTTCAAATTATAATAAAAATATCTGAAGTCAAAAATAATTCTTATTAATTATTTAGTAAAATAGTTTTTGACTTCAAAAAAAAAATTTTTAAATCAACCAAAAATTTTTCTTAACATAACCTATAATTTTTTTGTCGCGTAAAGTCCCGTTTTACAGGAAAACGTTAAAAATATTCCCGCCAGAAAATAAAATATCAAAAATAAATAATACACAACTTACAATTATTTCTTATTTTTCTTTCGCAGTGAAAAAAAAATTTCTTTTTCAAAATCAAGTACAAGCAGTTGGGACATTTTTATCTCCTTTTTCAATATTCTGATTAATTTCCACAATTCTAAATGCTCGGAAAAAATTTGCAGCCTCCCTGAGAAATAATCCCGTCGCTTCGGCAATTGGTTCGCAGAGATCTTTCAATGATGTCGCCACATTATACAAGAGTATCAAAAATGGTTGTATTATTGCATTAAATAATATTGATAATAATGGTTTTATGAAATAGTCAGCGAACATTTGTAAAATTCCCACTGTTAATGGCCGTATTGTACTGTAGAGTATAAAACGAATGAATTGAAGAATAAAGGCCGTTAAAAATGCGCAACCAATGTGCGCAACAGCAAAAATTTCAGCCCAAAAGCGAGTTGCCGCATTTTCCGTTTTATCTGCACATTTTTCTGTAGCCAATATTGGCGGTGAATCAGTTGTTCGATAAAATCTAAAATTATATAGAAAAAAAAAGTAAATTCACACGTTTTAAATTATATTTTTATTAAGTTGAATTGTTAACATTATTCAAAATGGTGGATCCAACATGGCGAACAAAAATTGTTATTCACACAAAGTTTTATTCCAAAAATTATTTTTTATAGTTTTTTTTCAAAATTATTTATAAATTATTAAATATTTATTTTAAAAAACTCAACTTTTATACTTCGAGAAATTTAATTATAAAAAAAGGAAAATTGAAAAATTTTTGTTCTAGAAATAATTTTTCAAATTAATTAGAACTAAGGATCAAATTTTTATTCTTCTTAAACATTCCGACGAATATACAAAATTAAAAGAAATTATTTTAAATTCTTAATTCTGGTCCGCCATATTGGATTCGCCATTTTGATTTTCTCGAATTTCATAATTCTGAGTAAATAACTTTAAAAAAAATTGTAAAACTAAATTTGTGTTTGTTTAAAAAAAAAAACTTTTTGTAACATATTACTATGAAAATTTTGAGTCTATTTTCTAATAAAATTAATAATTCGGCTTAGAAATTTGGAAATCGGTTCCATGTAAATTTAAAAAAAAAAATTCTTGAAAGTTTAAAAAAATTTAATGAATTTTTGTAAAAATTAGAATTTTTTATTGAAAACTACCTATAGCGGTGAGAAAAAGAAAAATTGTAAAACAAATAAACAAATAAAGGTAAATAAACAATATAGTAAATAAATAATTATATTTAAATAAAATTAATTGAAAAATTGAAAAACAATAAATAAAGAAAAAAATTTGAAGAAACAATAGTAAATAAATAATTATATTTAAATAAAATTTATAAATCAATAAATAAACAGTGAATAAACAATAAATGAATAAATAGTAAATAAAGAATAAATAAAATAAATAAAAATTTTCTTTAAATAAATTAATAACAAATACCTAATTAATAAACAAAATAAATTTTAAAAATAATATTTTAAGATTAAATATAAATGAATATTTGCAAAATACGTAAATTAATAAATAAATAAAAAATAATAAAAAATATTTAATAAATAAACAATGAATGAATAATAAAATAGATAAATAAAATAAGAGATAAAAATTTAATAAATAAAATTTTAATTTTCATAAATAATATATAAACAATTAATAAATAGAAAATAAAAAAAAAAAAATTTTTTTAATTTAAATTATATTTAAAAATTTGAATAATTATGTAAATTTTCGAATTTATTAAATTTTATACACAATGCGACTAACGCTGAATTTCCATGATCAAAATAATAAATATCGATTTTCTCTGATGGTTTTTTCACTGTTTGTTCTAGTTTCTCTTCATTTGGATTTTCCATTTCTGGTTTATTCAACGGTATACCCTCGGATAATTCACAAAACATGTATGGCTGTAAAAAAAATTATATAACAAAAAAAAATAAATAAATATTAATGTGAAAAAAAATTTTTTTTTCATAAATAATTATTTCTCCAATTTGAAAAAATAATTTCTTTTTTTTTTAAAAACCTTTGAATAATGTTGACAACGTTTCTTTTTTAATTTAACTTCATACGTTTTATTTTTCCTACGAAAGTATCTTGATTTTGGCCATTTCCAATTGACACTATTACAAGTTTGAAATCTTTCTAAAATTATAAAATTATAATTAAAAAAAAAAAAAAAAAAAAAAAAAAAAAAAAAAAAAAAAAAAAAAAAAAAAAAAAAAATTATTTTTTGGTTAAATAATATTTTAGACAGTAGAAAATTTTTAATTTTAAATTAAATTGTTAACTTCTTTCAGATATAATTTTTATTTTTTTTTATTTAACCTAAATAATTTTAATTAATAATTCATTTGTTTCAATTAACAGTTAATTAATTAGATAATTTTTTAATTTTTTAATATTAATAATTAATATTTGTTTATTATATTTTTATATTATAATTAAACACTTCAAAACAGAAGTGAAAATATTACCTGATTTACAATTCACTGGAATTCTATTTTCAGCTCTTGAAAAATGAATGTAATTTAAATTGAGAAGATTAAAATTAATTTTTAATTTTGTATTTATAACCAATGAAAAAAAAAATTATATCGCAGCTTGTAATAAATTTCTTACGTTCCAAAAGTTTGACAAATGCAAAGTTTTTCATCATTTTTTAAATTTGAATTTTCCCCACGACAAGAAGTTGATGTGAGTCGATTTTCCAAAAATTGATTGCACTCATTGTCTGAAAAATTATGTCAATGTTTTGTCTTCTAATCTGATGAAAAGCAGTTTTATAAAAAATTTTCTTTTCTGTATTTTCTTTGCATAGTTATTATTATTATTATTTTTTTTTCTTAGAACATATAATTTTTTTATCAAAATCTCATCTCACACTTTGATGTTGGAATTTTATTTTTGAATTTGTCACTTCCATTTTCCGTTGATATGGAGGATGATAGATTTGAGGACACTGATGAATCGGAGCAAGGGCATTCCTTTTCTTCGCCCATCAACGTAAATATTTATGTGAATTATTAAAAAAGTGTTGGGGGAGAAAATAAAGAGCATAAACAACACATAACTGAAGTGTCAAAATTTGTACACTGTGAATATAATCACAATAATCACTCCGCAAAAAATTTTCAAAAAATTAAATGAAATGCGGTTTCTTTAAGATTTCTCACCGCTGATTACGAATCTGAAGTCAATATATAAAAATTCAAAATGGCGAATCCAACATGGTGGTCAAGTTTTGTAAAAATTCATCGGATTCCCTTCGTAATTCGTTTCTCGTAGGCCTTTATAGGTTCCGCTGATTATGAATTTGATGATGAAAATTTTTAAATCAACAATTTTAAAAATAATAGAATTTAAAAATTTTCTAATTTAAATTTTTGTTGAAAACACTAGAAAAAAATTTAATTTTGGAGAAATTATAAATAATTGCAGAAATTAAATTATTTTAAAATAAATTTTTTAAAAATAATTTGGATTTTTTTTGGAAAATTTTATTAAAATAGTAGATATTGAAAATCATTGAATTAAGAAAATTTTTGAATATAATTGAAATTTTGCAATGAGTTTTATTTATTTATGAAAATAATTGAATTTTACCATGAATTTTATAAAAATTCCTCAATATAATTGAATTTTGGCGAAGAATTTAATGCTAAATTTTAAAACATTTGATTTTTTTGAAAAAAAATTATGAAAATTTTATTTTAAATAATAAGTATTTAATCCTGTGAAAGTTTTATTACTTTCGAAAATAATTGAATATTCATGTAGAATTTTTGTCAAAATTTTTTTTTAAATAAATTGAATTCTTTTGTAAAATTTTATTAAAATAGTAGAATATTAAAAATCATTGAATTTATAGAAAATTTTTGAAAAAAATTTAAATTTTGACAAGAATTTTATTTTAATTTTTGAAAATAATTGAAATTCAGCAATGAGATTTACATTATTTATGAAAATAATTGAATTTTACAAAAAATTCCTCAATATAATTTAATTTCAGCGAAAAATTTAATGACAAATTTTAAAACATTTGATTTTTTTGAAAAAATTTATGAAAATTTTATATTAAATAATTTTATTCCTATATGGAACTTTTATTTTATTTTAAATACACTGAAACCCCACTTATTTGAACATGGCCCACGCAATTCGAAACAAAGTGTCGCGTTTATTTGTATTTAGGTCGACATAACCTATGTTGGTGACGTAATTCGATAAATTGACATGATTGGTTGGTTTTCTTTGAACTCAACCAATGGGAATGTAAGTATCTTTTCATTGGTCGCGTACTGCGCATGAGCTAAAATAAGTGAGGTTAGGGCTGATTCTAACTAAAAATAACTGAAGCAAAAACGGGTTCAAATAAACGCGACTTTAGGTAAACGAGACTTTAAATAAGTGGGGTTTCAGTGTAATTAAATTTTCGTGTAGAATTTTATCAAAAATTTTGTTTAATAATTGAATTCTTTTAGAAAAATTTAATTAAAATAGTAGAATATTGAAAATCATTGAATTGAGGACAATTTTTAAAAATACCTAATTAAAATTTTGCCTTGAATTTTATTAAAATTTTAGAAAATAATTGAATTTTATTACTTTTAAAAATAATAGAATTCTTATCATGAATATCGTAATTTATGAAAGTAATTTAATTTTGCAATAAATTTTATAAAAAATTCCAAAAATTATTGAATTTCGGCGAAGAATTTTGCTATTTATAAAGATAATTCAAATGTTGACGAGAATTTGACGATTCATAGGTCAACATAGTATATCGTTTTTTCTTGGGCCAATTCTTTTAACTTCTTCATGATACTCTTTTCACGTTCTAAAATCGTCGATTTATTCTCCAAAGACGAAAGAGTAACAATGATACACCTTATTTTATCTCCCGATTGGCTAACACAATCTTTAGTAACCTCCACTACACTATCAATATGAAATTTAGTTCCAGGAAGCAAAATCGTTTCATTCTCGTCCTTAATTAGCAAATGATTAGCTTTAGCTCTTATTATTGGTTCAGCAAAACTCATTTTATAGAGAACTCTAGTTTGACCAGCTCTAGTGTTCTGGGAATATTCGATAGCCTTGTTTATGTCAGTAGACGTTGATGAAAATCTATTGAATTCAAATTCCCTTTTTTCGTCTGCAAGTACTTGATCAATATCTGCAGTCGTTCTAGATTCTCCTCTGAATAACTGTTGAGCGAATTGCTCGCCAGGCGTTTCGAATTGTCTGATTGCCAATCTGTAAATGGCGTTTTTCATTCTTCTTTCCTGATCTGAGGGTTTGTGCATTTTCACAAATCCATCGTCGCCGTACCATCTAAGTGCATAATAATCTTCGAATCGCATTTCCTTGAAAGCTTCTAGTCTCTTGAAGTCCTTTAATACTTTGTCAACTGGTAGAATTTTCCTAATATCAGCATTCTCTTTGAGTGGATACAGAGTGTCGATTCTCTTTGTTGCATCAGCGGCGGTTAAATCTTTATTGTCCATCACTTCGGAATATTTTAATTTGTAGAAGTCATCAGCAAGTTCTATTTTTAAGTCTTCGGCCCATGGGGGAATCTTCTGGAATTTAGTGTTCGCCCAGTCTTTGACAAAATTAAGTTCTGTTTGCTTTGGTTCCTGGAAGGCGTATTTTGATAGCTCGTCTGCAATTGCCTTTTCTATAAGTTTGTTGTTACTTGCTTTTGCCAATTTAATTGCTGCCTGCATACTTTTTATTCTGGATATTAAATTACGGCTCAATGGAGATCGCCTTGTGCGTGATTTTCCATTTCTGGGTTCGGATGATTTTCTAATGTTTCCCGGTAGCAGCGGTTGGATAAAATCGTTAAATACTTGTTCCACTGCAAGGGTATCGAGATATGATGTTTCGCCCTTTTCGTTTTGAAAACCCACTCTATGCAACGTCTCTTTAAGTTGTTGTGGTAATCGAAGTGAATAGTCTGAAGAAGACATCGAACTGTATGCTATGAAACCTTCAATACTGCCGTATTTGTCAAATACAGTAGATTCAATGACATGATTCAACACTTTGCTGACAACATTGGGATCTCTAGCTCCCTTTAGTTTGCAACTGGTTCCCACCTTTTTGGCTAGGTAAAGCTTCTTCTCGTTCAGATCCAGATCATTGTTGTCCAGAAGAAAGTGATACAAGGCATTTACTGTTGCAATCGGTTTATGGATGTCAGATTCCTTAAGGAAGTTTTCCGCGTAGAGAACATCACTCATTGATCTCATGCAACTTAATATGGAGACCATTTGAAGGGTTCCCAACGGATTCACAAAGTTTCCCACCTCCATTTTCTTTTCTCACTTAATGCTCTTTAATTTTCTCTAAAAATAAACGAAAGCAGTTTTTTTAATTTACAAAAGAATAAAGTTTAAGACTTCTTAAATGATAAATATGCTTTTCTAATTGTTAACGAATATTAATGTTTTACCAACCTTATGCTTTGCCTTGTTGTACTTTACTTTTGTTGTAATAGCAAACAAATATTTTTGAAGTAATTGAGGTACTAATAGATGAATCCACCTAATAAGTTTAGATACTTTTTCTTACTGATTATTTCTAATGTTTCTACTTTGCCTTATATACGAAATTTACATCCGGTTTGATTAGAAATATTTTTCTGTTTTGTAAATTTATTGGCTAATTAACAATTTTGACAAATTCTATTAAAACGTGTTTTATATTGACACAACTGTACAATAGTGTTTGTTATAATAATCTAAAGCGCAAAGTTAAACATATTTGTCTAATTCGCCTTCTATGAATATTCTTTAAATTGCTTCAAATATAAAAAATATTGACTACTTGTAGTGGTTACGTGATTTATGGAATGGAAATAATTAAGATTTACTGTTACGCATCAATAAACTCTAGGTGTAAATTTTGTCAATATTTTTGTCGATATCTATATGAGTTGTCTAGTCAAATAATATTAATACACTTGTCTGAATAACTTTTTGAAAATGCTGGTTTATCTGGTTAATAGAAACATCCACCTGAAAACTTTCCAATAATTGGGATATAGCTGTAACCAATATTCATTATATCTTAATAGAACTATATTTTCATTCATCTATAATTAAGTTTGACAATATTTGTCTCATTTTCTTTATGTAGTTTAGACTAATAGTACATGTTGCATGTTGTTTCATATGCATTTATATGTTGCCTTTCGGAATGTCATTGCTTCCAAAATTTTACTAAACTGAAAACAAACACTTGGTCACTACATTTCTAATCTATTTCATATATTGTGTAAATCATTTATTCTAAATTGTAAATACGGTCTAGAATTTAATGGATTTTGGTCTTTGTTAAAAATGTTTGCATATATAATTTAGGTTCTATTAATTTTCTTTGACATACTTCGAAAGTGTATAAAAATATTTACTTGCTTTAATGCTGACGTGATTATTGTCAGGAAAGAATTAATAATTACTGATACTACGCATAACTAAAATATTTTTTTGTCGTTATCTATAAAAGTAGTCTAATCGAATAATATTGATACAAATGTGACAATAATGTTCTAAGAGTACTGTACTGAAATTTTATTTGTATTACAAAAAGCTAACAATTTATACAGAACCGATGAAGACATAAACATCCACTGATGTATGTCCACTTCATATGTAATTTTTGATGTAGCATATTAAGCTTAAATTTTCTAAATTTTACATTCTGTTAAGTTCTCAAATTAATCTTAATTCTTTCGTAGTAAAAAGGAATGATCCACAATTTATATCACATATAGATTGACTTTATTGAGTTTAAAACAGCGAATTCGAAAATGGATTTTTAATAATGATAATTTATTGATTCACTGGAATTACTTATAATCATCCTGTCGTTCTGGGTAGACCACTAATTTTGATTGCTCACAATTAGTTTCGAATTTAAAGTGATCTCTGCAGTCGATCAATCGTAATTCCTTGTTTAAACAAATCCTGATTTCCAGTAAATATTGATTTTTGCTCTAGGAAAAGAAAAAACGCATTATACAACTTAAAAAAAACTGCTATATATAAATCAAATAACAGATTTTTTATATTATAAAGAGTTAAAATTTCTTAAGGAATATATTTCTACCTTGCGGCGTTTGGCACACATGACATTTGTCGAAACTCCTAAATTTTCCTTTAAAGCATTCAAAATTTGTCTAACGTTGTATATTCCACCTGGTGTAATATTTGATCTTTCGAAAATATTCTTGATATTATGTATTCTATTTAGCTTTAATCCCATTTTAAAATATTTTTCCATTGTATTCATCGAGTTCAAAGTAATAGAACATGTTCCATGCTTATCCCACTCGTGCTTCCAAAATTTCTCCGAATTATTGACATGGACACTTGGCCACTTTAGTTCTAACTCATTTCTTATATTGTCCAATTTATTTACCTGAAATAGTAAATCCGGTCTACAATTCCATGGACTTTGTTGTTGATATTGACTCGGCCAAATACCATGAATTGTCCAATGATCCTCTTGCGGAAGATTACATTTGTTCTGTGGTATTTGTGATTTAATGCACAAACTTTTTATCCACTGTTGACTAAACACTAACAAATCAAAATCATTGTCTAACCTGAAAGAAAATATTTTTAAATTCCTTTTCTTTTGATTTTTCTTTTTTTTTAATTTACTTCATTTGATGCATAATGTACTGTTATAAAATTTTCAATAAAACTTACGTGAATGAACTTTGTACGAATATTCCGAATATGAGAAAAAATATACGCAATGTATCCATTATAATTTTTTTGTTAAAAAAAAGTTCTCAAAGTTGGAGTTTTTAATTTGTGTAGTGTATGAAAATTGTTACCTTCACAATAAAGAATAGAAGGAAACATTAAAAAATACTTAAATAATCAATTACTGTGTAATTTGAAAACAAAAAAGTATTGAGAAATATTCTTATCAATGTACATTGTACATTTTATCATGATGTATATTTATCTTTCTTTCTATCAATATTTCGAATTTTAGAAAAATTATTTTTTCTACATACCTTCTTCTATTTTTAGTAAATCAATTTGTATCAATCATTTCTTAATCTTATTAATAAATAACTTTTTTCAGTTTGAAAAATATTAAAAAATTTGACTTATAGCCTTTAAAGTTTCCATCTTTGAAAAATTTTTAAAAAATTTTCCTCGTACTCGTATGACCGGTTAACAAGCGAATGTGTTATTTTTTTAATGGGAAAAAGTTATATGTATATATGTGTTTGTTTATCAATCAAATTGATCATGTTACATAATTATACGTTTATCTCATTGTAAATCCCAGGACGTTGTCTATTATTTCATATTATTCATTGTTAGAGTTAAAAATGAAATTAGAAAGTTTCAAGGAAAATATTTTAAATAATTTTTTGTAAACCATTTTATTACACAGACAGTCCAAATGAAAACAATTTTTTTAGGGAAGAAAATAAAAAGTACAGATATAAGATAATTAGCAAATTATCAGCAAATTATTAGCAAATTATTATACAGAAACTTATTATATTCTTTTTAAATTAATCTAGGCCGTCGGTGTATTAAACATTAAATAAGAAAATATGATTTATAGGCCATAGACAGTTTCGTAATTCGAAAATGCATATATGTCTCATTGACACAATTCAATTCAACACGTCTTCAACGGGTTTTAGGATCTACAATCATATTTAAATTTATGTATTTAACGTTGCTTAAAACATGTTTAAAATTTATGAAAATGAATGTTTTAATACAAATATTTCAATAACATTGTTTCCAAAAAAAAAGCAAAGTAAAGAAAATCAATCAAGCTGTAATATTGTAAAAATTTACAATTTACAAATATTCTCCACTTTAATTTAATTAATTAACCTTCATTTTTTATTATAAATTTGGAATAAATTAATTAATCATTATGATTTCACAACAATTTGAGACAAGGAAATTATTTTTTTTTAAAGAACAATAATTTATGTAAATTCTTCGATTAATTATATAATTCACGTTCGAGTCAACAATAAAAGAAAATTTGAAGATTTGAAGATTCAATTAATTGTTGGATTATTCTTTTTGATTGTATGTACCTGAGAAATTAATGGGCAAAATCAACATCAATTATTTTCCGTTATAACACTATTTGGTTTCATAAGAAAAATTGAAGATTTATCCAATTCTTGGAAGGCTTCGTTACGCACATTTGGGTCGTTGCTCAAATCTCTTAATTGCTTAATGAAGATAAAGTCCTTAATTTGTCAACCAATATTATGTCAATTTGGAGTTTAAGAAGATTACGAATTTTATTTTCAATATTTTCTTGGCAATTTCGATTTTAATACTTGGTTTTGTCAAACAATTATATTGGAGGAGTATTGTAATGATCAAATCAATTGCTGATTCAGAAGATTTTCTCATAACTTTTAATTTGAATTTTATTAATGTCTTTAAAATTAATTTATCAATTGTTTACCGTTCATTATTGTTATAATTTTTGAATAATTCGATTTTCAATTTTTTGTTAGCAACAGATCTCCAGGGAAAATAATAAACAATCGATTAACTTTAATTCTTTTTGGAATTCGCACTAAAAACGTTTTAAAACGGCACACGAATTCCTATCGGAATTTAACCCAAAATCTGAACGAATTTTGGAAGAATTCTTAACGAACTCCAAACGAAATTCGTACGAATCATATTCACCTGCGAGCTGACTCTAATGGCCCATTTACATTGCCAAAGAGCAGCTGAAAGTTTTTTGTACTTCTTCTATATTTAAGTGATTTTTCCAAACCAGCAAACTGTCCGGGATTATCCCTAGATATTTTGCCTGCCTTGTAAATTGAAGCTCTTGCCCGGACAGCTTAAGTGGGCACACCAGAGATGGAGATCTATTTGTTGTTTGAGACGAAAGTTACAATCAAACGACATTTTGATTGAATATAGGATTCAGTGCAGTTTTTGAAATTTTTGACTACATAACTCTTTAAATTTGAATCAGCGAAAAGTCGCTAATTATGCAGCTGATTCAATCAGCGTATATGTATACACTAATGAAACAGCGATTAGTCACTGATATTTCAACCTATATACGCTGATTGAATCAGCTGCATACTTATAGCTGCATAATTAGCGAGTTTTCGCTGATTCATATTTAGAGAGAAGATTGCACTGAATTTCCTGATAAATGTTTAAATGCGACCAGAAAAAGAGAAAAGTAATATAAACGATTAAAAATATAAAATCTAAGATGTTTCTATAAAAATATTTTATTTCTTGTTATTTTAAAGTTAAGTGTTCAGTGTTTAATTATCAATAAAAGTTCAGACAAAAATTACTTTTTTATAATTTTTAAAGAATTTTAAAAGACCATCTCCCCCGGACTTACCCTATCTTCTACCCTAGGTGAGTTTAATTATCTTTTTGAAAAATAAACAAGTAATTAAATTTTCTTAGTCAGAGAAGGTTAAAAAAGATATAATTCATAACTGGGTTTAAAATTATTATAAGCAACACACAAAAATTTTGATAAAATGTAATTTATTTACAAAAGGTTATTAAATACATATACAAAAGAAATAAATATTAAAAGCTGAATAAAAATTAAAAAAAATAACTTATATTGTCCTCGCGTTCAACTTGTTCTTTAACAAACTAAGCTTTCTAAAATTACTTACAAGTAATCTTTTATTCACAGGTCAACATAGTATTTCGTTTTTTCTTGCGCCAATTCTTTTAACATCTTCATGATACTCTTTTCACGTTCTAAAATCATCGATTTATTTTCCAAAGACGAAAGTGTAACAACGATACATCTTATTTTATCCCCTGATTGACTGACGCAATCTTTAGTATTATCCACTACGCTGTCAATATGAAATTTAGTTCCAGGAAGCAAAATCGTTTCATTCTCGTCCTTAATTAGCAAATGATTAGCTTTAGCTCTTATTATTGGTTCAGCAAAATTCATTTTATAGAGAACTCTAGTTTGACCAGCTAAAGTGTTCTGGGAATATTCGATAGCCTTGTTTATGTCAGTTGACGTTGATGTAAATCTATTGAATTCAAATTCCTTCTTTTCGTCTGCAAGTTCTTGATCAATATCTGCAGTGGTTCTAGATTCTCCTCTAAATAACTGTTGAGCGAATTGTTCGCCAGGCGTCTCGAATTGTCTGATTGCCAATCTGTAAATTGCGTTTTTCATTCTTCTTTCCTGATCTGAGGGTTTGTGCATTTTCACAAATCCATCATCGCCGTACCATCTAAGAGCATAATAATCTTCAAATCGCATTTCCTTGAAAGCTTCGAGTCTCTTGAAGTCCTTTAATACTTTGTCAACTGGTAGAATTTTCCTAATATCAGCATTCTCTTTGAGTGGATACAGAGTGTCGATTTTCTTCGTTGCATCAGCGGCGGTTAAATCTTTATTGCCCATCACTTCGAAATATTTTAATTTGTAGAAGTCATCAGCAAGTTCTATTTTTAATTCTTCGGCCCATGGGGGAATCTTCTGGAATTTAGTGTTCGCCCAGTCTTTGACAAAATTAAGTTCCGTTTGTTTCGGGTCCTGGAAAGCATATTTTGATAGTTCGTTGATAATAACCGTTTCTGACAATTTGATGTTACTTGTTATTGCAAATTTAACGGCTGATTGCATATTTTTTGCTCTTGCTATTAAATTACGAATCAACGGAGATCGCTTTGTGCGTAATCTACCATTCCTTGGTTTTGATGATTTTCTTTTATTTTCTGGTATCAGCGGTTGGATCAAATCGTTAAATATTTGTTCCACTGCAAGAGTATCAAGATATGATGTTTCGCCCTTCTCGTTTTGAAAACCCACTCTAAGCAACGTCTCCTTAAGTTGTTGTGGTAATCGAAGTGAATAGTCTGAAGAAGACATCGAACTGTATGCTATGAAACCTTCAATGCTGCCGTATTTGTCAAATACAGTAGATTCAATGACATGATTCAACACTTTGCTGACAACATTGGGATCTCTAGCTCCCATTAGTTTGCAACTGTTTCCCACCTTTTTGGCTAGGTAAAGCTTCTTCTCGTTCAGATCCAGATCATTGTTGTCCAGAAGAAAGTGATACAAGGCATTTACTGTTGCAATCGGTTTATGGATGTCAGATTCCTTAAGGAAGTTTTCCGCGTAGAGAACATCACTCATTGATCTCATGCAACTCAATATGGAGACCATTTGAAGGGTTCCCAACGGATTCACAAAGTTTCCCACCTCCATTTTTCTTTCTCACTTAATGCTCTTTAATTTTCTAAAAATAGAAGAAGCAATTTTTTTAAATTTCCAAAAGAATAAAGTTTAAGACTTCTTAAATGATAAATATGCTTTTCTAATTTTGTTAACGAATGTTAATGTTTTACCAACCTTATGCTTTGCCTTGTTGTACTTTACTTTTGTTGTAATAACAAACAAATATTTTTAAAGTAATTGAGGTACTAATAGAAGAATCCACCTAATAAGCTTAGATACTTTTTCTTACTGATAATTTCTAGTGTTTCTACTTTGCCTTATATACGAAATTTACATCCGGTTTGATTAGAAATATTTTTCTGTTTTGTACATTTATTTGCTAATTAACAATTTTGACAAATTCTATTGAAACGTTTTTTATTGACACAACTGTACAATTCGTTTTGTTATAGTAATCTAAATTATATGGTTAAAAATATTTACTGCTTGTAGTAGTTACGTGATTTATGGCATGGAATGAATTAAGAATTACTGCTACGCATTAATAAACTCTAGGTGTAAATTTTGTCAATATTTATGTCGATATCTATATGAGTCGTCTAATCAAATAATATTAATACACGTGTGTGAATAACTTTTTGAAAAAGTTGGTTAATCTGGTTAATAGAAACATCCACCTGAAAACTTTCCAGTAATTGGGATTCAGCTATATCCAATATTCATTATATATCTTTATAGAATTATATATTCATTCATTTATAATTAAATTTGACAATATTAGTCTTATTTTCTTTATGTAGTTTAAACTAATAGTACATGTTGCATGTTGGTTCATATAAATGCATTCATGAGTTGCTTTTTCGGAATGGCGTTAGTTTCCAAAATTTTCCCAAACTATGAAAATATACACTTGTTACTACTTTTCTAATTTATTTCATATATTATGTAAATCATTTATTCTAAATTGTAAATCCGGTCTAGAATTTAATGGATTTTGGTTTTTGTTAAAAATGTTTGCATATAATTTAGGTTCTATTAGCTTTCTTTGACACACTTTGAAAATGTATAAAAATATTTACTAGCTTTAATGCTGACGTGATTATTGTCAGGAAAGAATTAATAATTTATTATACGCATAACTAAAATCTAAGTGTAAATTATGTCAATATTTTTGTCGTTATCTATAAAAGTAGTCTAATCGAATAATATTAATACAACTGTGTCAATAGTTTTCTAAACATGCTGTACTGAAATTTGATTAGTATTATAAAAAGCTAACAATTTATGCAGAACCGATGAAAACAGATTTATGTAATATCTCTTTAGTTACTTCCAACTCGCAGATTCTAAATAATTCGGATATAGATGTAATCAATCAATGTGTAACTAAATGTGCTGATTACGATTGACTAAAATTTATTTATTTTTGTAAAAATTAGAGAAATTCTATTTGTTTTTCAATCTTCCTATAATAAACCATTAAAGATACGTCTTATTTCCATCAGTCTGAAAAGTAGAAAATTGAAAATCATTTTTTTAAATGCTTGATTAATTATCTTCACTTCGCATATTTTGGAAATAATATTACTGAAATATGTGCATTAAAGCATTTATAAATTTCATAAATTTTAAACAAGTTTTAAGTATATAATCTTAAATGTAATGGTAGGTACTAAAACCCGTTGAGGACGTGTACGACAGCTAGTATCCAATAAATTGTATCAATGAGACCTACATGTGTTTTCGAATTACGAAACTTTCTGTGGCCTATAAATCATTGTTTCTTATTTAATGTTTAACACAACGTCGGTCTAGATAATTATTCTATCAAAAAAATATTGCTTTTCTAATTAATTGTTTATCAAAATTTTGAAAAAAAAATTGTTTACAATGTTATCCATTTTAAACTGAAATAGATGATTTCTTATATTTTTAAATTAATTCATAAATTTATCAACTTGTACTCCCTAGATTGACCTCTATGCTTCTTTGGTATCGTGGGCTACTGTGGAATAAAAAACATCTCAAACGCTTGATGCTCTCTTGTAGCTGGAACCCATGCATCTTACAATTAAAACAGTGGTGACGTTATGCTGTTAAGTGCTGTTAAGGCCCTAGAAATTTATTATGATAAAAATATTTTTATCCTTTCGGATATAGCAAGTCAGCGATTTTCTCTTTAAAACGATTTGGGTGCTTGGCCACAGTGGATTCATTGGTAATGATAAAGCGGATTAATTAGCCAAAGCAGATGCAAGAGACTAACTTATAGGGCCTGTGCCTCTAATTGGTGATTCTGAAATATATTTTGGTCAATTGTAATCAGCCCATTTATATAGTTCTATAAAGATATAATGAATATTGGATATAGCTGAATCCCAATTATTGGAAAGTTTTCAGGTGGATGTTTCTATTAACCAGATTAACCAGCATTTTCAAAAAGTTATTCACACACGTGTATTAATATTATTTGATTAGACGACTCATATTGATATCGACAAAAATATTGACAAAATTTATACACATAGTTTATTAATGCGTAGCAGTAATTCTTAATTCTTTCCATGCCATAAATCACGTAACCACTACAAAGTAGTCAATATTTTTATATTTGAAGAATCTTAAACAGTATTCAAAGAAGGTGAATTAGACAAATATGTTTAACTTTGCGCTTTAGATTATTATAACAGAAACTATTGTACAGTTGTGTCAATAAAAAACGTTCCAATAGAATATTTCAGAATTGTTAATTAGCCAATAAATGTACAAAACAGAAAAATATTTCAAATCAAACCGGATGTAAAATTCGTATATAAGGCAAAGTAGAAACACTAGAAATTATCAGTAAGAAAAAGTATCTAAACTTATTAGGTGGATTCTTTTATATAAGTACCTCAATTACTTCAACAATTTTTGTTTGTTATTATAACAAAAGTAAAGTACAACAAGGCAAAGCATAAGGTTGGTAAAATATTAACATTCGCTAAAAATTAGAAAAGCATATTTATCATTTAAGAAGTCTTAAACTTTATTCTTTTGTAAATTAAAAAAACCGCTTTCGTTTATTTTTAGAGAATATTAAAGAGCATTAAGTGAGAAAGAAAAATGGAGGTGGAAAACTTTGTGAATCCGTTGGGAACCCTTCAAATGGTCTCCATATTGAGTTGCATGAGATCAATGAGTGATGTTCTCTACGCGGAAAATTTCCTTAAGGAATCTGACATCCATAAACCGATTGCAACAGTAAATGCCTTGTATCACTTTCTTCTGGACAACAATGATTCGAATCTGAACGAAAGGAAACTTTACATAGCCGGAAAGGTGGGAACCAGTTGCAAACTAAAGGGAGCTAGAGATCCCAATGTTGTCAGCAAAGTGTTGAATCATGTCATTGAATCTACTGTATTTGACAAATACGGCAGTATTGAAGGTTTCATAGCATACAGTTCGATGTCTTCTTCAGACTATTCACTTCGATTACCACAACAACTTAAGGAGACGTTGCATAGAGTGGGTTTTCAAAACGAAAAAGGCGAAACATCATATCTTGATACTCTTGCAGTGGAACAAATATTTAACGATTTGATCCAACCGCTGATACCAGAAAATAAAAGAAAATCATCGAAACCAAGAAATGGTAGATTACGCACAAAGCGATCTCCGTTGATTCGTAATTTAATAGCAAGAGCAAAAAATATGCAATCAGCCGTTAAATTTGCAATAACAAGTAACATCAAATTGTCAGAAACGGTTATTATCAACGAACTATCAAAATATGCTTTCCAGGAACCAAAGCAAACAGAATTTAATTTTGTCAAAGACTGGGCGAACACTAAATTCCAGAAGATTCCCCCATGGGCCGAAGAATTAAAAATAGAACTTGCTGATGACTTCTACAAATTAAAATATTTCGAAGTGATGGGCAATAAAGATTTAACCGCCGCTGATGCAACGAAGAAAATCGACACTCTGTATCCACTCAAAGAGAATGCTGATATTAGGAAAATTCTACCAGTTGACAAAGTATTAAAGGACTTCAAGAGACTCGAAGCTTTCAAGGAAATGCGATTCGAAGATTATTATGCTCTTAGATGGTACGGCGACGATGGATTTGTGAAAATGCACAAACCCTCAGATCAGGAAAGAAGAATGAAAAACGCCATTTACAGATTGGCAATCAGACAATTCGAGACGCCTGGCGAACAATTCGCTCAACAGTTATTTAGAGGAGAATCTAGAACCACTGCAGATATTGATCAAGTACTTGCAGACGAAAAGAAGGAATTTGAATTCAATAGATTTACATCAACGTCTACTGACATAAACAAGGCTATCGAATATTCCCAGAACACTTTAGCTGGTCAAACTAGAGTTCTCTATAAAATGAATTTTGCTGAACCAATAATAAGAGCTAAAGCTAATCATTTGCTAATTAAGGACGAAAATGAAACGATTTTGCTTCCTGGAACTAAATTTCATATTGATAGCGTAGTGGAGAATACTAAAGATTGCGTTAGCCAATCGGGAGATGAAATAAGGTGTATCATCGTTACACTTTCGTCTTTGGAAAATAAATCGATGATTTTAGAACGTGAAAAGAGTATCATGAAGAAGTTAAAAGAATTGGCTCAAGAAAAAACGATATACTATGTTGACCTGTGAATCAAAAATTACTTATTGAGAGTAATTTTATAAAACTTAATTTGTTAAAAAACAAATTGAACGCGAGGAAAAAAAGTATAGTTTTTAATTTTTATATGTATTCAGCTTTTAATATTTATTTCTTTTGTAAATGTATTTAATAACCTTTTTGTAAATAAATTACATTTTATTAAAATTTTTGTGTATTGCGTAATAATTATTAACCCAGTTATGAATTATCTTTTCTAACCTACCTTACCAAAGAGAATATAATGAGTTATTTATTATTAAAAAAGATAATTAAACTTTTCTACAAAATTTTGCGAATTGTTAATTGTGCAAAACTACGTTCGGCCAAATGCGAGGCCAAATGCAGTTCCATCAAATGGCATATTTAGAGAACATTCATACGCTTTTTAAACTATTGCGTAACACAAGGTGTTCACTTTTGAAATGGTTAATCTTTGTTTTTAAAATAAAAGTTTAATTAAGAAAACATTGAGCAAAAATATGTTTCTATTTAGAATAAATTGTTTGCCTCTCTATAGAATTATTATCTTATTAATAAAATCAAATATTATAAGAACAATTTCAAAAAAGTATTGACACGTTGTATTGATATTAATAAACTAAACAAATCATATAGATAAGGAATTAATATTGACATATTTTATGTTACGTATTCATTTATGCGCTTCAATAATTGTGAATTCTTTCATGTCATAGAAATTACAAAAACACTACAAATAGTAAATATTTATACATATTTTTTGAAAAATTTGAAAGAAAATAAAAATACCGTAAATTAGGGTAATACTTTTTATTTTATAAAATTAATTGGCATAATCAAAAAGATTCTAGACATTTGTGTCAATATGAAATCTTTTGAAGAAAATTGGCTTATTCATCACTTAGCTAATGAATGTTACAAAAAAATATTTCTAAATAAATCGGATAAATTTGGTATAAAAGGTAAAGCAGAAGCAGTAGCAAAGAGGAAGAAAAAGTGTCTAAACTTATTAGGTGGGTTTTTCTATTAGTACCACAATTACTTCAAAATTGTTTGTTTTTCATTACAACAAAAGTAAAGTACAACAAGAAGTATAAGGTTTGTAAAATTTTAACTTACTTTATTATCTTACAATTACATTACAATTGAACAACATTCGCTAACAATTAAAAAAGCATATTTATCATTTAAGAAGTCTTAAACTTTATTCTTTTGTAAATTAAAAAACTGCTTTCGTTTATTTTTAGAGAAAATTAAAGAGCATTAAGTGAGAAAGAAAAATGGAGGTGGGAAACTTTGTGAATCCGTTGGGAACCCTTCAAATGGTCTCCATATTGAGTTGCATGAGATCAATGAGTGATGTTCTCTACGCGGAAAAATTCCTTAAGGAATCTGACATCCATAAACCGATTGCAACAGTAAATGCCTTGTATCACTTTCTTCTGGACAACAATGATCTGGATCTGAACGAAAGGAAACTTTACATAGCCGGAAAGGTGGGAACCAGTTGCAAACTAAAGGGAGCTAGAGATCCCAATGTTGTCAGCAAAGTGTTGAATTATGTCATTGAATCTACTGTATTTGACAAATACGGCAGCATTGAAGGTTTCATAGCATACAGTTCGATGTCTTCTTCAGACTATTCACTTCGATTACCACAACAACTTAAGGAGACGTTGCATAGAGTGGGTTTTGAAAACGAAAAGGGCGAAACATCATATCTAGATACCCTTGCAGTGGAACAAGTATTTAACGATATTATCCAACCCCTGCTACCGGGAAACATTAGAAAATCATCCGAACCCAGAAATGGAAAATCACGCACAAGGCGTTCTCCATTGAGCCGTAATTTAATGTCCAGAATAAAAAGTATGCAGGCAGCAATTAAATTGGCAAAAGAAGGTAACAATAAACTTTCAGAAAAGGCAATTAAAGACGAACTATCAAAATATGCCTTCCAGGAACCAAAAGAAACGGAACTTACTTTTGTAAAAGACTGGGCAAAGACTAAATTCCAGAAAATTCCCACCTGGGCTGATAAATTAAAAATAGATCTCGCTGATGACTTTTACAAATTAAAGTATTCCGAAGTGATGGACAGTAAAGATTTAACCGCCGCTGATGCAACAAAGAAAATCGACACTCTGTACCCACTCAAAGAGAATGTTGATATTAGGAAAATTCTACCAGTTGACAAAGTATTAAAGGACTTCAAGAGACTAGAAGCTTTCAAGGAAATGCGATTCGAAGATTATTATGCTCTTAGATGGTACGGCGATGATGGATATGTGAAAATGAACAAACCCTCAGATCAGGAGAGAAGAATGAAAAACGCCATTTACAGATTGGCAATCAGACAATTCGAGACGCCTGGCGAACAATTCGCTCAACATTTATTCAGAGGAGAATCGAGAATTACTGCGGAAATTAATCAAGTACTTGCGGACAAGAAGAAAGAATTTCAGTTCAATAGATTTTCGTCAACGTCAACTGACATAAACAAGGCTATCGAATATTCCCAGAACACTTTAGCTGGTCAAACTAGAGTTCTCTATAAACTGAATTTTGCCGAACCGATAATAAGATCGAAAGCTAATCATTTGCTGATTAAGGTAGAAAATGAAACTATTTTACTTTCTGGTACTAAATTCCATATTGACAACGTAGTGGAAGATACTAAAAAGTGTGCTAACAAGGCAGGGGAAAAAATTCGGTGTATCATTGTTACTCTTTCGTCTTTGGAAAATAAATCGACGATTTTAGAACGTGAAAAGAGTATTATGAAAGAGTTGAAAAAATTAGCACATGAAAAAACGAAATATTATGTTGATCTCTAAAAGGAAAATTACTTCAATGTTCGCCCGCAACGGACTTTTAATATATTTATTGGTATTAATAACTTATTTTACTTTATTACTTACCTTCAGCAATTTTGTATACACTGTTTGATAATAAATTTAAAAAAAAAAGATTATATTTTCGTTTATTTTTTATATCCTTCCTCGATCAAAACAAAACGGATCTTAGTTTTGCAAAAGATTGGGCTAACGCCTGAATCCAGAAGAATTCATCTACAGTCGAACCTGTCGGAATGAAAATCTTATTTAAAACATTTTTTTTTAATTCGAAAATGTTCAACAAAAATTATTTTCACTTAATTCCAGAATATTGTAGAAATATTACAGAATTAAGTTATAAAACAATTTATTCAAAGATTATTTACTGTGATAAAAGTTAAAAATCGAGTTGCAATCCGACAGGTTTAACTGTATTCTCCTAATAATTATAAAAATGGTTCTTTTAATCTACGATCTAAATTTAAAGTAAATTTTGTTATAAAGACAGAAATGCTTTTGAGAAATCAAGATTTAAGAAAAAAGAATTTTAAATTATTCGGAATCATGAGTATGTATGTTAATTTTATAAAAAGTACTTTGCCGAGAATGTTTGAGGTATAGCTGATCACGAATCTGTAGTCAGTTTTTTAAAATTCAAAATGGCGGATCCAATATGGCCGATTATTTTTAAAAAATTGATCGAAATTACTTGAAATTAACTATTTTAAGTTTTCGAGGTCGCTGATTACGAATCTGATATTAGATTTAAAAAATTCAAAATGGCGGATTCAATATGGCGGATAAAAATTAAAAACTATTTGGATTTGCTTGAAACTTGTTACTCGGGGGTTTTCAAGGTCGCTGATTACAAATCTAACCTTGGATTTAAAAAATTTTAAATGGCGGATCCAATATGGCGGAGGAAAATTAAAAACTGTTTGGATTTGCTTGGAACTTATTACTCTGGGGTTCAATAGAAGAGAAATAATAAAATAAACTAAAGGGATTCTGTTGAATAGCTATTCAACAGAATCCCTTTAGTTGAAAATTTTAATTTTGCCGAAATAATTAATAAATATAAATTTCACTGTAATATACTGAAATGCAATATTATCAAATACAATAAAATTCAATAATTAGAAAATTGTTCAATTTCTCTAGTGTTTATATTTATGGAAATAACAAATATATTATAATAATAATGTTTCAAGGTTTGAATTTTTGTTTCTTCTCTTTGATTCATTCGATACGATTTATTTAGAATGGACTTTTTCACATACAACACATCGAAGTTTTTTTCTCTCCATACCAATAAGTATGGAAATTTTCTTCGCACTGTGAGATTGACTCTTTTACACATCAAGCAAAAATTTTTTTTTTTTTTTGCTATTGTGATTAACAATTGTATTTTTATTTCTCGAACTGCTCCAATAAAAAATTTTATTATTTAAATAATTGGAATTTAATTTCTTTTTTTTTTTACTTTGGGACCTTGAAATAAAAATTTTTGAACCTTTCTTCAAAGAAATTTTGTTTTACAATAACCAGATTTTTTTTTTTTTGGTAATTATTAGTAATAAGAGAAATATTACTGAAAATTTCTGAAATCAGTTCTTTTCTTTATTCGCGGAAACTTTTTCTATTTAAATTTAAAATAATTTTTTCAAAATTTACTTGTTTGTTAATTTTACACTGACAAAGTTTATTATTTCAAGGTTCTAGCGTGTCTCTCACATTTAAATAAAGAAAATTTTAGGAGAAACAAAATTTTATCTTCTACAATTTTTTTTTATTACACTATAGAGTTCGGACTAGCGTTATTTAGAAAAACGAATTTTTTATCTCGATGTTTACAAATATCAATTACTTTTTTTTGTATACAAACGACGCGATGGAAGAACGCTAGTCCGTACTTCATCACTTTTTGAACATTTCTCAAATTGTGAGTCTTTTCAATATCGGAAGCCGGTGACATTTTAGGAACAGTAGTCACAATATTTATATTTAAATATATTAATAAAGAATGAATACACACACAAAAGATTTTTTTTTTATATTTACAAAAAGTAAATCAACTTTTTAAACTGTTTTCTTCAAATCATTTTTTTTTTTTTTTAATGAAATTTCTAAAGAAGTAACTGATAGATTATTTTATTTTCAATTTCACAGAAATAGAAAATTTTTCAAAACTGTTTATTGACTAAAATTATTATTCATAGAATTTTTATTTATTTATTAAACAATCAAGTAATTCACAAATTAATTTTTATTTTTACAATACAAAATGTAATAATGCTGTAAAAAATTGTTCTTTTCTTTTTAATTATTTAAGTAAATAATTGTCCATACTATTAAAATTAGTTGATTACGTATTTCATTAAAACTTATAAAATTATAAATGGAATACATTTTACAAAAATTCGAAAAAAGAAAAATTGAGTATAGAAAAAAAAATCAGTCATGAAATACTGTTCGTTGCAAAAATCGATGCTTTCTCTAAACATTCATTTTTTTCCTCTACAATTATTATATGCGAAGTCGAAATTCTCCTCACGGGAAATAATTATAAAAAAAAATTATGAAATTTTTTTTTTTTTTTAAATCAAATTAAACAAAATTTTTATTTTTATTTCCTATAATTATAAATTGAATACAATTTATTAAACTAAATTTTAGAGAGCGTTATTCACAACCGAATTACAAATTTAAAAAAGAAACCAAATTTTAAGTTACATATTTTCTTTTATGTAAAATTGATCGATATTGTATAAAAAACAAATTATTTATTTTCGTCTAAATAATTTAATTAGAAGTTTTAGAAAATTATTTTCGAATCAATTTCAATAATTTTATTGCGTTTTTCGGGAAATTCTGTATTACAAGAAAATTCCGACTACGACAAATTAAATAAACAAAAAAAAAAAATTTTTTTTTTCCTACTTGAGCAGCGACTGTACAAAAAAATGTATTTCACACTTCGCAAAAAAGAAAAAACATACAAAAGAAGAAAAAACGAGAAAAATTTGCTAAGAAATAAGAAAATTTGAATTAATTTTTTTTTTGCAATTAAATAAATTTCAATAAAATCGCAGCACTTAGGAACTAGAAATTGTTGCTAAATTTAAATTTTTTATTTTTGACACACAACGTTTCTCGTCGACCTTTTTAAAAGAACTTTATTGAGAATGTACAATTTTCTGACGAAACAATTTTCGTAATTAAAAAAAAAATTTGTTCAATTAAAATGTTTTTTTTTAATAATTCCATGGGTCATTGAATAAAATTAATCAACGAAATATTTTATGACTAAAAATATTTTTTTTTCGAAAATATATTGTTTTTTAAAACTCGTCCGCAATTATTTTGAAAAAATGTTTATTATTTTATTACTTTATTTTATTTATGAAATTAAATGTAAAGTAAAATTTGATTTAAAAAGAAAATGTTTAAAAAAAAATTGTATTTTTTTAGAAAAAAATTCTTCAACCATTGAAGTTTATTCAAAATTAAAATTTATAATTTTTAAAAAAATGGAAAAAAATTTTACAGAGAAAATGTTTTTGAATACATTTTATTTTATGATCATAAATTTTAAAACAAGAAAATTCAAAAAAATTAAAAATCAAAAGAAATTTTTTTTTAAAGAAAGAGTTTCAAACATTGTTAGAATATAAATGTTGAGTCGCTATTTTTTTTAACAAAATAATACATTTTTTATTTAAAAAGAAAAAAATTGCAGATAGCTTTTTTAAAAAATACTGTTTTTGTGTCGAAAAAAATATTTTTTTTCGGTAGAAAATTTTGTCAACTAATTTAGTGTAATGAAATTAATAATGAAATTAATTAATTAATTAATAATGAAATTAATTAATTAATTAATAATGAAATTAATTAATTAATTAATAATTAAATAACCTATTGAAGTATTTTTGCAAAAAAATATTTTTTTAATTTGTTCAAATTCACTCGCGTAAAACTTTTTGCAAAAAAAAAATAATAATTTTGTTAAAATAAATTTTTAGACAGATAATAAAATTCGGGATTTATTACCTAACTTTTATTTAAAAGTTTAAATTTTTTCTCTTAAATTTAATTTTAATTCTTAATTTTAAAAAATTTCTTAATTTTAATTTTTTTTTAATTAAAATTAAAAAAAAATTTTTTAATTAAAATTTTTTTAATTTTTTGTCGTACTTTAATTTTTAAAATTAAATTTTTTTTAATTTAATTCTTTAAAAATCCACTGTATCAGGAAATTTTTTTAATTCTACAGTACAAATTCCAATTTCGTTTGGAAATAATAATTTTTTTTCAAAAATTTTATAAATATTTCCAAGAAATATAACAGAAAAAATACTTTTCCAAGAAATTTATAAATTTTTCCTTCTTTTTTTATACAAAATTATGGGGGAATTTTGTAACACTGAGATTGTAAATGTATCCAAACATTTCACTTAATAAAAATATAAAATTAATTTAATAGAATTAGAATTATTATAATAAAATTACAAAAGGAAAGAAATTTCCTTTTTTCATAGAAAAAACAAAAAGGAGTAAATTTATTTTTTGCCTAAAAAATTGAGATTCGAATATTTACAAAATTGTGTCGTCAGATTACGTTACGATAACAATAAAGATTTCGACATTGGAATGTGTACAATAATATGGCACCACAATATCAACGACCAACGCTATAATTATAGTAAAAAATTTGCAAAAATATCCAAAGCCAAATAATTAATTATATAACACTTATTTTATTCTATCTTTTTTTTATCTTCTATCTTTTTTTATCTTTTTTTTCTGTTCGATTTTGCAGAATAAATTTTTTTTTTTTTGCTTAATTTTTACGAAAAATACTGAAAAATATAGAGAGAAAGATTATTATTATTATTATTTTTCGAACTATACGGCGAAAAATCGACTGTCAACAATTTTAATACAAAATACGAAGTTTATAATTATTTTTTTTCATTTCGTTTTCGTTTTTTTTTCTCTATTTTTTTTGAACAACACGCATGAAGAATGTTAAAAGAACATTCTCAAGATTAATTCTTAATTTATAGTAAAGAATTTTTTTTTTTATTTAAAAAAATTACTTCTACATGACTTAGGAATTTGTAAAAATTTTTTTTTCATTTCTTCTATTTAACAATCTAGAGAGAAATTAAAAAAAAAATATTGATATTTTCATTTTTTTTTCTTTCATTCAAAATTGGAAAGTGTTCATTGTAAAAAACATTGAGAAATATGTAGAATTAGATTTATTTAGAAGAATTAAAAAAAATTTGAGGTAAAAGAACACTAATCTCACGTTTACGGCAAAAAGAATGATCATTTTCATCATTAAGATTTTATCTTTTCAATTTAACATTAAGTTTATAATATTGAATACGTTTGAGTCTTTTATTCTGCAGAAAGAAAAATTATTTTCAACTAAACGCCCATTAAAAAAATTATTGTGAAAATTTCCACGCAAATCTTTAAAAAATCAATTTCTACCTTTTTTTCAAAAGTAAAAAATTTTTTTTTCAAATCTTTTTTTTTGGAAGACTCTAAATTGAAACTTTATGGAAAAAATAGTTTCATTAGAGTAGAAGTGCATTAAATTATTGAATTTTTTTTTATAAATTGACGATTTACACGCAAATTGATATTTTATTTGCAAAAAGTAATTTTTTTTAATTTTCAATAATAATTTTCTAGGAAAGAAAATATTTGTACATCCAAATTTTTTTATGTCTCGACACAGTGTTGAATTTTTAATTAGCCAAATTTTTATTTTGCAACAAAATTTCATTTGGTTGCATTTCAGAGATTTTATTTTGATAAAAATAATTATTTAATAATTATTAAAAATTATTATTAATATTATTAATAATAATATTTATATATTAATATTATATATTAATATTATTAATATTATTATTATTTTTAATTATTAAATTATTTATTTATTAATTATTTTTTATTTTGATCGAATTTTAATTGGCAGAATTTTATTCTACTTAAAAATTTAGCTTAATTTTCTAATTAGCTTAATTTATAATTAGCCAAATTTTTAAATTGTTTAATTTCTATTTAATTGAATTTTCAATTAATTCAATTTACATTCAATTTAATTTTTCATGAATTTATAATTGACATTTAATTAAATTTTCGATTAGCTTAATTTATAATCAGCTAAACTTTTTATCGACTAAACTTATATTTTGCTAAATTTTTAATTAATTTAACTCACATTCAGCCTAAATTTTCATTTGACTTCATTTTTATTTTACTGAAATTAATTTTTTTAACAAAATCTTTTTCCTTATCTGAAAGTTTTATTATTAAGTAAATATTTATCAGGTGAAATAGAAATTTAACTAGTTTTTTGCAATTTGCTAAATATTTGTGCAAAGAAAATTTTAATTGACTTAATTTTTATTTAAAAAATAGTTTATTTTGCAAAATTTTTTTAATATTTAATTTTATTAAATTTCAGCTTAATAAAACAAATTTTCCTTGAATTTATTTTTTTCATAAACAAATTGGCTTAATAAATAAAATTTTCGATTTTTTTTTCATAAACAATTTGGCTAAATAAATAATATTTTCCAGTTCAGTATTCATTGTAATTGAATTATTTGGCCAAATTGTGAATTATAAAAAATATTTAGTTAAATATTATTTAACCGTAATTTTATTTGGCTGTAATTTAGTTAATTTTAGTTTATATTTAGCTGAATTTTTATTTATTTTTGCCTAATTTTTAGCTAATTAATAATTATTAATAATAATTAATTTCCGGATTTTTGCTTCGTGATAATTTTTGCTTTTTCGGAAGAAAGTTGCAAATGTACAAACATCGAGATATTAAAATTTGGATGTTCCAAATTTTTCGGTAATATTTATTTATACGAACGATTAAACTTTTCTCTTCGAGTTTTTATATGAATTAAAGTAAAACTATTACTGAAATGTTAAAATTTACTGTAAATGATTGATATTTTTTTTTTTAAGAAAAAAAATTCATGTTTCTTTTTTGTTGTGGTAAAAGAGCAAAAGCGTGGATGATATGGTGCGTCGTTATTGGAATCTTAAACTAGTATATATAATTATAATACGTAATTTTTGGTAACAATTTCTCCGCTGTTTTTCTTCTTTCTTTCTTTTTTTTTTTATACATTTTGGTATTTTCTAGACGTACTGAAAGTTGTCCTTATTAGTTAGCAGAGGTAATTTTTCAACGCTATGCTTCAAATCGAAGCTATGAAGCCAATCGGAACTTGGCTTTGCTTCTAGGCCGCAGAAGCTACAATTGCAAAAATCAGCTGCATTTTGAAGGGCCCCTCGATGAAATGGATTTCCCTTATCAAAATGACGATAACGGCCTACATTTATTCTCTCGTTCGTTGTCATGCCCAATATCATTATCTGATTCAAGAATTGTAAACAATTTTTAAGAACCATTTCTTCAAATATTCCTCATTTTTCAATTCAATTCCTCATTTTTTTTTTTTTTTTATAAAAAATAAAAAATGAGGAATTGAATTTATTTTTCTTTGGGAATTGAAGTGATTTTAAAATTGCTATTTTTTGGAAAACAATTTTTTTTTGCTACGTACCTGATAACATTGGCAGGCTAATAGTGTTCCGACCCAAAACGAATGCAGCGCTGTATTTGTCATGACCCACATGACCCATGCGTCACAAGTTGCGGCGGCCACCAAATAATTGTCCGCCGTGTGACCGTGCGTCAAATTGGTCCAGCATTCGAATTGCCAGTACTGAACGCTCGCTGACAAAATCACAATGCAGAGTCCGAGCAGTGATGTCAAGAAGCCCAAGAAGTATTTGTGATTATGTGCACCTGATTTAAAGAATCGAAATTTATTTCGTTCTTGTTAATTTTTATACGAGAATAAAATTTTAAAAATTTCTATTTAAAACCTTCTGAAATTTAATAACTTCTAAAAATTACAACTTTAATTCTCTTAAAATTAAATTATTTTCTACAATTTTTAATCAAACTTCTTCTCGAAATCAATTATTTTTTATAATTTTCCGAAAGTTCTTAGAGAATTCAATTATTTAAATACAACTTGAAATGTTTTCAGGACCTTAATTTTTGTCAAATAAATCTGTTTATATTCCACAATATAAACAGATTTATTATTTAAATACAAAAATTCAGTTCTTCATAATGATTCTATCTGTCCATGTTTTTTAAGTTATTAATTAATTTTCAAAAAATTATAATAAAGAAATTCTTAAAATTAATTTTTCAAAAATATTTTAAAAATAATTTATGAAAGATAATAGTTTTTCAATTATATAGAATTGAAAAATTTCCAAACAATTGAAATTTGGTAAATTCTATTAAAAATATAATTGAATTTTTAAAGAATTTTAATTATTAATATAAACGCGATTTATTCAAAATTATAATAAATCTAAAAAAGTCATATGTTGTTAAAATGTTAAAAGTAATTGTAAAAAATTTGAATGTTATTATTTTTTGTATGTATTTGAATTTTTGGAAATTTGTATTTGAAAATATTGAAAATAATTGAATTTTAAAAAATTAGAATACAAAAAATTCTAAGAATTATTTTTTTTCAAAAAAATATTTTAATATAATTTTTTTGAAGCTAATTTTCATTAATTACCATTTGTAAATTTACACTTGAAGATTTTTCATTGGAATTTTTGAGAAATCAATTATTTTCAAAATTTGCAATTAAAATTCTTTTAAAGTTTATTTTCAAAAATTTTTATCAAACATTTGGAAAAAAATCAATTATTTTCAATTAAATTTTACAAAATTTCAATTATAGAAACTCTTTTTTTATTGTAAATTTTGAAAATTTATTTAGTTCTTAATATTTATAAAAATAGTTGAATTGTTTCGAAGAAATTATTAAAAATTTTAGGAAATAATTGAATTTTATAGAAATATTTGAAAATATTTTAATTCTTCCAAGAAATTCAATTAAAGATGTTTTGAAAATAATTGAATTCCTGCGTAAAGAATTTTTACTGTTTATAAAAATAATTGAATAATTCTTGCGAATAATTTTGACATTTATAAAAATAATTGAATTGTTTCGAAGGATTTATTAAGATTTTAGAAAATAATTGAATTTATTCGAAATATATTAAAATTTTTTTTTAAAATTAAATTCTTCCGAGGAATTCAATTTCAATTATTTTCAAAATTTGCAATTAAAATTCTTCAAAAGTTGATTTTCAAAAATTTGTATAAAACATTTTAAAAAAATCAATTATTTTCAATTAAATTTTACAAAATTTCAATATTTATTGAAACTCTTTTCACTTGTGAATTTCGAAGATAAGTTGCATTTTATACTAAAAATTATTGCAACATTCGGAAGAAAAGTCGAAAAAAGTCGCATTTTTTGAAAATAGTCGAAAAAAGTCGAAAATGTTATAATATCCGAGGCCTGATTTTATTATTTTATTATTTATTATTTTATTTATTAGTATATTTTTATTATTTCAAAATTATTATTACTTCAATTATTTTCTAGAATTTTTAACTAAAATTCTTAGCTTTAATTTAAATCAATTAATTTTCGAAACAGTTCTTTGAAAATTTTCAAATTCATTTGTTTAACAATTCAATTTTACAAAATTTCAATTATTCAAGAATTCTTCAATTAAATATATATTAGAGAATAAAAACTTCAAAAAAAAAAATAATTTCAAGTAAAATTAAAATAAACTTTTAGAAAAAAATTAATTTCAAAATTCAATTATTTCTAAAAATTCACGCTTCATTGCTTTTAATATTTAATTATTATTTAAAATTTTAACTAAAATTAATTTTTTAATCAATCTTTATTAGAAAATTCTACGAGAATTCAATTATTTAAATACAAATAAAATGCATATAAATAATTTATTGAATAATTGAATGTTTCTTAAAATTTAATTCTCATGAAGAATTTTATCAACTATTTTTTTAAATAAATAATTTAATTATTTCGACGAATTCTAATAAAATTTGTAAGAAGAATTACATTTTTCAAGGAATTCGATTAAAATTGTATTAAAAATAATTGAAATTTTGCAATGAGTTTTAATATTTATAAATTAATAATTGTATCCCTAAAAAGAATTTTATTATTTTTGAATATAATTTAATTTCTGCGAAGAATTTAATTACTCTTGAAAATAATTGAATTTCTGCAATAATTTCTAATTTCTCCAAAATTAAATTTTTTTTAGTGTTTTTTTAACTAAAATTCTTCTAGAAATCAATTATTTTTAATAATTTTTGGAAAAAGTTCTTTGAGAATTTTAAAATTCATTTGTTTACAATTCAATTTTACAAAACTTCAATTAGGTATTCGGAAATTCTTCAATTAAAAATATATTATAGAGAATAAAAACTTAAAAAAAAAAAAATAATAATAATTTCAAGTAAAATTGAAATAAACTTTTTCAAAAAAATTAATTCTTTTACAGAATTGTTATTTAAAAGTATGAAAAATTCAAATTTTCAAAGATTTTAATTTTGAAAACTTTTCAAAATTCAATTATTTCTCAAAATTCACGCTATAATCCTTTTAATATTCAATTATAATCTAAATTTTTAAATGAAATTCAGTTTTAAACCAATTTTTATTAGTAAATTCTACTAGAATTCAATTATTTTAATAAAAAAAAAATAACTTATTAAATAATTGAATTCTCATAAAGAATTTTATCAACAAATTTTTAAATAATTGAATTCTTTCGATAAATGAACTTTTTGATGATGATGAACTTTTTGATGAATTCCATTAAAATTGTATTAAAAATAATTGAAATTTAACATTCGAGTTTGGTTAATAAATTATTTTTGTATTTAAATAATTGATAAGAATTTTAATAAAAAATTCTAGAAAATAATAATTGAAGTGAAGAAAGTAATTTTGAAGAAGTTACAGTAACAATATTCTTATCTATAAAATACCTAATGATTTTATCACTCGATCATTTTTAATTATTATAACAAAAATGAAGAAAGATATCTTCATGTTCGGAGTGATCGATATCTTTATGTTTTACAATAATTCTTGTAAGTTGTTGAATTTCAAAAAAGTTTGAATATGAAATTTTTGCAAAAATTTTAATTCCCATGGAAAAATAATAATCGATTGGAAAAAGTCAATCGACTTTGACATAACCCTTTATTTTTTTATTTATTTTATTTATTTATTTATTTATTTTATTTATTTATTATTTATTTCAATACGATATTCAAACATGCAATCAACACATTTCAAAATAAAAAAAAACTTTTTCTCACCAATGCAATTATTGACCCAGGGACAATGATGATCGTATCTTGCCACACAAATATCACATGTTGCACAATGTTTCGAACGTATTGGTCTTCTGACTAAGCAGGTACTGCAAAACCACTGAGGTTCAAAACCTCCAGCTTCGGCTAATTCTATAATAGTCTAAAAAAATACCATCAATCATTTATATTGTTTTCTTCATTTAAAGAACTGTTGTCCAAAGTAAAACCCCAATAGTCGCATTTGCTGTAGGATCGAGACTATACTAGCTTTTTATTTTTAACAGTGCAGAAAAATATTTTATTATTTTCACCTAACAGAATAATTGAATAATTTAATTAAAAAAAAAAAAAAAAAAAAAAAAAAAAAAAAAAAAATTTTAATAATTTTAATTATTAAAAAATTTTTTTATTTATTTTATTTTTATTATTTTATTTTTATTTATTTATTTATTTATTTTTTTAATTATTTTAATTATTTTTAATTTTAATTATTTTTTAATTTTATTTAATTTAATTTTTTTTAACAATAATTTAACAATAATTTAACTCACATTTAATTTATCTTCATGTGTGGCTGTAATTTTTCCAGGATCACCACGCCACGATTGTAAAAAGCATATCCAAAGTGGTACGGACCCACCGACAAGCATTAGCCACAAATACCATGCGGCATGAACTCCCAACCAAAATACCCATGTGACATAAATCCACATCTATAATAATTAATAGTATATTCATCAATTAAGAGAATTTATAGTCGACTATTCATAATTTAAATTCAGATTCAATCAAAAAATAAATAAATTACCTTGGTTGCTAAATAGATTGACATTGGTAGAACATCAAATAATCTTTCGTCAAAAACAAAATGATTCGCTGAATAAATTGCTAAATATATTGCAACAAAGGCAACTAATTTTAAAAGATAATCGAGACTGCTTTGAAAAATCATCCCAATTATGTAGAAGAGAATAAATGGCGTGCCTACCATACAGTACCACCTCATTCTCTGAAAAAAAAAAATATTTTAACCATAGCATCATCATAGTACGATTCCTAAGATACTGTTTTGATAACCAAAATGACTACTCACCTTATCTCTACACCAGGTCCTAACACGTCCTTGCTTCTCCTTAATCTCATGCGTAACTTTAGGTCCAAGCCAAGCAGCGCCAATGTGCGGACCCAAAAGCGTCATAGGCGTTTCATTTTGAAAATTCGGAGTATCTAAAGAAGCTCCATTATGAACTAGAGTTAATATCGCTGTATTATTTTTAGCGATAATTGCCCAATGAAGAGCAGTGTTCCCGTGTAAATTGTCAGTTAACGAATGTGACGCTCCCAATGTGAGAAGAAGACGTGTCGGGTCAAGGCTGCAAAAGCTTTCCCATTGAATCAAGAACACTTTACCATAATTCCTTAATTGTAGGTATACACATATTACATAAATAATTTTAAAAAAATCACTATAAAAAAGAAATGAAGATTTTTCATTTTCTCTCACCTATTAATTTTATAAGCGCTCCACATAAGCGGAGTCATCGCACTTCTATCTGGCATATTTGGATTTACACCTTTTGCGACTAGATAAGCAACTATGGCGGTATGACCGAATTGCGCGGCCAAATGAATACATGAGGAACCTTCGCAATCTCTTAATGTTGGATCAGCTCCAGCTCTCATTAATAAAACAACTGTTGCTAAATGACCTTGCCTGTAATTAAGTTTACAATCAATCCCTTGTTTTCTATTATCAGTCATTTTAAATAGAAAGCAAACATTAATTTAAAAAAAAGTAATTCAATTTGTAGAAATTTATTAATTTAAATTTATTTCTAGTGTTTTGATGATCTACCTTGTAGCCCAATGTAATGGCGTTGAAGCAAGTTCACCCCCAATGACATCGACTGTCGCACCTTTGGCTATGAGGTATTTGACTATTTCTTTACGATTATTTATTGCAGCCCAATGCAATAATGTGACTGTTTCACAGTCGGGCTGATTTACATCGGCCCCTGCTTCTACTAATTCCGTAACTCGTTCTAAAGCCCCATACTAGAAGCACAAGGTAAAAAAAAATAATTTCCTTCCCTTCAGCCTAAAACTTTCGCTAATTCTAGTTTCTATTTTGTTGTCAAGAATTGTGACACTCTTTCTGTATCTCTTTCTACTGTTCCAACTTATTAGGTCTAAGCTGAATGAAACTAAATTTTAAGAATGAGCAAAAGAATTTAATTTTCAGAATTTAATTTTAATTTTCAGATTATGATCATTGGATCATAATCTGAAAATTAAAAACTATCCTTCTCTTACTACTTAAAGTTAAATTAAAATTAACGATTCTACGATTTTCTTGTAAAAAAAAAACTATTAAAAGACATGGAATAACGCATTAGGAGTACAATTCCAGGATTGTCACGCTTTCGCTCATTTCAAATTCCCTGACTTTTCCAGGTTAAAAACGGAATTTTTCCAAGTTTTTAAAACTACATTTATATTTTACAAAATTTTTAATTCAAACCTTTTTGAAATTAAACATCTTATAAAAAATTGTTATAAAACATGAAGATATCGATTATATCTATTATAAGAATATTCTTACTGTAACTTATTCAAAATTACTTTCATTATTTTAATTCAATTATTGTTTTCCACAATTTTTAACTAAAATTCTTCTTTCTAAAGTGTAAATTAATTATTATTAATAATTTCTGAAAAATTTCTTTCAACATTTTCAAATCCTTTCGCTTACAATTCAATTTTATGAAATTTCATCGATTATTCAGGTATTCGGAAAATTCTTCAATATATATTAAAAAATAAAAACTTCAAAAAAATTCAATTCAACTTTTACAAAAAAATTAAATCTACACAATTTTAAGTTAAAAGTATGAAAAATTCAAACATTCAAAGATTATAATCACGGTAAATCGTTAGGTATTAAAATAACACCAAAAAGGATTAAAATAATCCAATTTAGTGTTATTTTAATCCATTTTGGTGTTATTTTAACACCTAACGATTTACCGTGATTTGATACCTTTTCAAAACTCAATTATTATCTACAGTTTTAACTGAAATTAATATTTCATTCAATTATTATTAGAAAATTCTACGACAATTCAATTATTTAAATAAAAAAAAAATAATTTATTGAAAAATTCAATGTTTTTTAAAATTCAACTCTAATTTAAAGAATTTTATCAACAAATTTTTAAATAGGTAATTAAAATTCTTTTCACGAATTTCAATAAAATTTTTAAGAACAATTTCATTTTTCGAGAAATTAGATTAAAAATGTATTAAAAATAATTGAATGTCTGTAAAAAAAATTTCATTGAATTTGAGAAAAGTTTTTGAAAATAATTGAAATGTTGTCAAGAATTTTATTAAAATTTTTTTTAAATAATTGAAATATTGCCAAGAATTTTATTAAAATTTTTGAAAATAATTGAATTTTAGAGAAAAATTTTAATATTTATAAAAATAATTGAAATTTTGACTATAACTTTTTTTAAAACTTTTTTGACCATAATTTGAATTTCTGCTAAGAATTTTTATGTCTTTTGAAAATAATTGAATGCTTGAGACGAACTTTTTAATAATATTTCTTTTTTAAATACCTAATTATTTTTAATACAAAAATAAATAATTTATTGAATAATTGAATGTTTCTCAAAATTCAAATTCTCATAAAGAATTTTATTAACAAATTTTTAAATAATATTGAATTCTTTTGACGAATTTTAATAAAAATTTAAATATAATTTTACATTTTTCGAAGAATTCGATTAAAATTGTATAAAAAATAATTGAAATTCTGCAATGAGTTTTTATTATCTATGAAAATAATAATTGAATCCCTGTAAAAAATTAGATTACATATTTATAAAAATAATTGAATCTCTGTGATAAACATAAATTGAATATTTTTGAAAATAATAGATTTATTGCGAAGAAATTTATAAAAAATGTTTAAAATAATTCATTTCTTTTGGAAAATATTATTAAAATAGTAGATATTGAAAATCATTGACTGGAGGAGAGTTTTTGAAAAAAAATGAATTTGTTAAAAAGAATTTCATTAAAATTTTTGAAAATAATTGAATTTTGGAGAAAAATTTTAATATTTATAAAGATAATTGAAATTTTCAAGATAAATTTTTTTAAACTTTTCTCCATAATTGAATTTCTGCGAAGAATTTTATTACTTTTGAAAATAATTGAATTATTGCGAAGAAATATTGTAAAGGCAACTCTTTTAAAATTGAATTAAGAAATTTGAATTAAGAAAATTGAATTAATGAAAAATTAGATTTCAAGAATAAGCACAATAACTTGAGAAAACAATAATTTTCCAGGATTCCAATCAAAATTTCCTGACTTTTCCAGGTTTTTTTCAAGGTTTATAAAAATTCCCTGACATTTCCAGGTTGCGTGGCAACCCTGAATTCGAATCAAAGCTTTTGATAAAGTTGATCATAAGTTATTAATTGATAAGCTTCTTACGTTTGATTTTCCTGATAACTTTATACAATTGATCAAGTCTTATTTAACTAATAGACCAAATTTTGTACAATATAGTGGTTACGTTTAAAATCCTTTTTTTCCTTCATCTGGAGTTCCTCAGGGATTTAATTTAGGATCATTACTTTTTTCTATATACGAATGATGTAGTCTCTCTTTTCTTAATTTGCTACCATCTTCTTTATGCTGATGATGTTAAACTTTACCTTCCAATTTCTAATGTTGAGTCATGTCAAGTTTTGCAAGATAATGTAGAAAATTTTTATAATTGGTATGTCAAAATAATAAATTAAAATTGAACATTGGTAAATGCAAAGTAATGACATTTATGAGAGGGAAATCAATTATTCCATATCAGTACTCTATTGAGGGTCATGTCCTTGAGAGGGTAAATAAAATCAAAGATCTTGGTGTAACTTTTTTACCTAATTTAATTTTTAAGTTTATACATTTTGTAGCCCTGTTATTGGTTTTTACCGTTGGGCTTGGTTTTCTTCAAATAAAATTAAAAAAATAAAATCTAGGAGTTATTTTTAGGCATAAGATTTATTTTTAATTTGAAGGGGGATGAACATATAACTCCTTATCTGAAAAGACTTGGGTGGCTCAATGTGAAAAATAGACGATTATTATTTATTGGAAGTTTAATGTATGTAATTCTAAATACTAAAAAACCAAAATACTTATTTGATAAACTCATTTTTAGATCTGAGATCACTTTCAAAAAAACTTAGATGTTCTAATTTACTAAGAAATTAAGATCCTTATTCTAATTGTCGGAATAATTTTCTGTCATTGCTGTTGACTTTTTAATGTCCACATAATCTAAAACTTATTTTAACGAATAGGCGTTTGACATATATTTATATTTTCTAAAAATCACAATAATATTCACTATTTGACCTAATTCACAATTTACTAAAAAACTTAAATGTCCCATTTTTTATTTTACCAATTATTATTATATTCTTTATAAGTATTACGTTTTTCTTAATGGTTACCCAACTTAAAGGGTTACATATACCTTATTGACCGCAAAAAATGAGTGATTTTCATAATTATTTTTAGACTTTTCATTTAAACTTTTTAAAAGCGGTTTGCGATGTGCACGATAAAAAGGCAACAACTCAACTGAAATCAAAATCAATGGAAAGTTTTGTTAGTTTACTATGTCACCTCGTTCCTGAACAAAGGGTTTTGAGAGAGAAAATTTTTTTTCTATCAATAGCAATGATTTTCCCCCAAAATCGAATTTAGATTTTTTATGTTTATTATTTATATTATTTATTATTATTTATTTATTATTAACATAAAAAAATAAATATATTTTATATAATTTTTAATTAGTTTAATACATAATATTTCAATATTATGTAATAATTATTTTCTAATTTGTAACAAATAATTAATCTGTAGATATCTTCACTTTCTCGGCACTGCAAATTGCTAATGTCATGCGACACCTTGTTCACTGTGGTGCGATTAGGAACTAAAACGGTTCCTCAGTAAGGCGGGAACATATGAAAAGTGATTAAGTATTCCATGTCTCCTAATACTTTTTTCAGGATTGGTTAGTTTTTTTTAAGGTTTTTTACTATTTCGTGCCTAGGAATGAAACTTTCAATGGTTTAGTATCCCTAGTCCTTTTCTCTCATGTATAACTAAACGATTTTAAGGGTTTCTGCTTAGGCTTATACATAAATAATTTTTTCAAAAATTTTTTTTTTACATTCTCATCACATGAGAAAGTATTTTTATTAAGTTTATAAACTATTTTTCTGAATTACCATCAAATGATGTCACTTACCTGAGTAGCCCTGACAATATCAAAAGAACTGCAGTCCTGTGTCGTTGAGCGCGTTGGCTCCGGTTGACGATGATTATTACTCGTGTCTTCAGGATCGCCACTGCCTTCTCCTTGACAGGCTGTCTGCATTTGTAGGGCGTACATTTCTATTTTAAAACATATTATTATTTAAAATTTCTTTCCCATGCAATTTTTCTTTGGAAACATTGACATTTTAACAAAAATTGAGATTTTAACATAACCTCCAAATACATTATAAAACTTATTGCTTATTGCGCAGACTCGAAATATTCGATTCTTAATATCGATATAATTCTCGAGTCTGCGCAATGGATTCCCCTAAAGGTAATAGTTCTTCTCCACAATTTATAAAACGGGATGAATTTGATATTTTAGATGTTGAATCAAATCTTAACAAACGATTATTATCAGAAATGTTTTTCATAAAAAGAAAGAAGGAGAAAATAGTTTAAATAAAATTTACTGACTTGGATGATTTTGATAAATCGTACGAAATGATTTTGAATTTTATTTCCAGTAATTTAACGTAAAAAGTAAGCATACTCATTGTGTTTCATTCTCTGTTCTTATTTAATTTATTTGTTTTTGTTCTTCTCTCTTTAATTAATGTTCATTGTAAGGACTCGAGAGAGTTTGGAGCTCAGTTTTAAATTTGACTTTGCAGTTTTCAATACGTTTTTACTTAATTTGATAAATTATTTTTATTTTTTTTTATTGTGAATTATTGTATTGTATTTATTTATTGTTTTTATACAAAGTTTTATGTCCATAAACAAAATTTTTTTAATATCTTTAGTTCTATTTAATTTTGAAAATTTAATATTTATTTCACTTTCTGTTATCTTAAGGTTATGGTTGACCAAATTTATTTTCATTTTGAACGATTTTAAGAAGTTTGCACTAATTATTAAAATTTCGAGACTAAATAAAAATTCCCTTCAAACAAGAAAATAATTTTTCCATTATTGAATTAAATAGAAAAAATAGAAAATTTACCTTTTAAGTTGATAAAAATCAGTCTAGCATTTAATCATTTTATCCCCAAAAATGTCAGTGGTGGTGCGGAATTAAAAAAAAATAGCTTGATGAAAATATCACTTTATATTAATGACTCATTGGCTTAATTTATTCGAAACGTTTACTATTCAATTCCATTTAGAATTTGCAAAAATACAAATGCTTTTAATGACAAAAAGAAAATTTTTTACTCTTCAATCTATTTTGTAATTGATTTTGTCCACTTGTACAGCACAGGATATGTACTTGAAAAAAGTTGATTTCTCATTACGAAAGGAAATTTCTTTCACGTCACTATAGATAATTTTACGATAACATTGCAATTTTTACGCGGTCATTACGATGACAATGAATGTTTTAAATTATTTATAATTGTTACTGAATTAGTTGATATAATAATTTAACGAGATTTCTATTGACCAAACTTCACATTTATAACTTGGAGCTCAACTCAGTAAAAACCAATCAGCTGTTCCATGCTGTTTTATCAAGCGGTGTGTCCAAACATTTTCTCGACAGGGTTGGAACACATTTTCACTGAAAGATTAAAAGAGACTCGAATTTTGAATTGAAGAAAACTTCCAGAAATTGCCGTTGCGCTACTAGTCTCACTGGTTAGAGAAGGATAAGTATATTGTTTATCCTTCTCTAACTCATTCTTACACTTACGATTGCAGTGAAAAATATTTTATAAACTAAATTTTTCATTTATTTAAGTATAAAACATGAAGATATCAATTAACCATCAATTCATCATTTTCAACTCATTTTTTCTTCGTTCGTTACCAAACTTTTGTTTTTATATTTTTACAAAAAGAATTTAGAATCAGTGAAGGTGTGTATAATGAGTTTTTATCCTATTAATTTAGTACATTTAAAATCAATGAAGGTGTGTATAATGTGTTTTTCTCCTAACTAGCGCCTCAGACGGTCTTCGGCCGTCTTCGTTGCTTCTATTCCTTCTTCATTTTTGTTCAATTTTTAAAAGTTCTAATGTTCAGTTTTTTAATTTAATAATTTTTTATATAAAACCAGAGCCCTCGTCGACCGCTTGGCGGTCGACTTTGTTGCTGCTTTATTCTTAATTCTATTTTAATTTTTAATTAAATTCTATTTTATATTTTATTTATAAATAAAATCATATTATTTATAAATTTTTCTTGAGATAAACCAGACAAACCCAAGACAGCTCCATCTATTTCGTTTACATTTAGAGTGTGAGGTGCGCTTTCTATGTTCTTTTTTATTCTCTATGCTTATTTCTTGCTTCGATACTTTTCGAGTTCGACTTTTTTCAATTCGAGCTTTTTCTGCTTTGCATTTTTTTAGAAAGGATAATAATTAGTAAATTTAGAATCAGTGAAGGTGTGTATGTGTTTTTCTCCAAATAATATAGTAAATTTAGAATTAGTGAAGGCGTGTATAATGTGTTTTTCTCCTAATAATTTAGTAAATTTAGAATCAGTGAAGGTGTGTATAATGTGTTTTTCTCCTAATAATTTAGTAAATTTAGAATCCGTGAAGGTGTGTATAATGTGTTTTTCTCCTAATAATTTAGTAAATTTAGAATCAGTGAAGGTGTGTATGAATAATATTGATTTCTTTATGTTTTTGTAAAGTACTTCTCTCTTTCTAAAATAAGAATCAATAATTCAGTGTTCTAGTGTCCTTCTATGTCGACTACTCTCTCTATGACTAAACATATATTTTCATTAATGTATCCTTCCCATCCCTGCTTTATTAAATGAATGGGAAAGAAAAACAAATAATTACAAAAAAAATATATGTCACATTAAAAAGAAAATAAATATAATTTTAAAAAAATGTTATTTACAAATATAATGAAAAATTGTATTAACTTACTTCTGTATTGTTAATGAAAATTAAAAATCATAAGCGAAAAAATGTCCGTCACTGAGGAGAAAATTGAGGAATTAAATAATAGATTTTCGGAATTTATTAATAAAAAAGAAAATGTCGAATCAATAACAACAGAATTTTATGAAGATTTATTGGATGAGGTATTGATGGGCTTTGTTTTTGACGTTCATCGAACAATTAAAAGTGGCAGTTCCAATGTTGAAGAAGGCATTCCAGACGATGAGTCTTACGTCATTATAGGTTAGAATTGCAAATTTTGTTATTATTCTTTATTTTATTTGTTTATTTTTTATAACTATCGTAATTAGTTTTATTTTTAAGTAAACAGATAAAAGAAATTTTATTATTTATTAAAAAAAAAACCTTTACAGAGTATGAAATTGAATTTATTTAAAACAAAATTTAATTCTTAAAAAACTTTTATAAAATTATTGCATATAAATTATTTAAAGAAAAAATTTTACATAAAAATTTGAAAAGTAATTGAATTTTTTAAGAGCTGCATTTACAAGTTACATAAATAATTAAATTTCAAAAGGTGTCAATTTTAAATTTTAGAAAATTTGAATTTTAAATGAGTTTACATTGGAAATTTTGTTGAAATATATATATTTAATTATTTAAAATAATTGATTTAGAAAATAATTTTCTGAACAATAATAAAATTAATTAGATGTAGAAAAAAAATGTCTTTCTAGAAAAGAATTCTTATTAATTGTTTTAATTAAAAATTTTACCTAAAACTAATTTTTTTGAAAAATTCTAATTCAAATTTTTTTTGAAATTATTTGAATTTTAAAAATTTTTTATTATATATTTAATTAAAATATTTTCGAATAATCGAAATTTAGTAACATTGAATAATTTTACACGGAGAGAGAATATATATTAAATTTTGTAAAATTATTTTACAAATTGGGGAAAAAGTGCGACAAAGTGAAATTTAATATTTATTCTCTCTCCGTGTAAAATTGCGTTTGCATTTCTTTTCGCAATTGTGATAGTAAATTTAGAAAAAGGTTGGAAACATTTTTTGTTCACTAATATAAAAAGTAATTATTAAATAAAAAATGCCTTTTTAAAAATGTATTATATTTTCAATTTTTTTTATTAGATTCACCGGGATTGGACGTGTTTGGTCAGCATCCAGTGAAAAAATCCCAAGAATGTAATTGTCCAAATTGCGATCGTGGCGTTGCCGCTTGTCGATTTGCCACCCATTTGGAAAAATGTATGGGAATGGGTCGTAATAGTTCACGTATTGCTTCGCGCCGCATTGCAAATAATACCAAGGATTTGAGTAATTTTAGTGGAATTATTAGCGACGACGAGGACGATGTCGATTGGAGTATGACAAACGATAAGCGTAAACGTAAAAAGGAACGAAATGGTATTAAAAAATATAAACAACAAAAAAGTGGACAAAGAAATGGCGACAGCAATGATGTCGTTTACACGAGCAATGAAAATTCACCGTCAAACTATGAGAATATGACGATTGAAGAGAAAAAGCAACTTTTGACGCAAATTTGCGGCGTTATATCGGAGCATACAAAGAAACTTTGTACAAGATCTGTACGTTGTCCACAGCACACTGACGAACAACGACGTGAAATGAGAGCGAATTTAGACAATAGCGGACAACAGGACAGCATAAATGTTGATGTTGTCGAAACAAATGATGATGAGAGTCAACATTCGAGGGAGAATTTCACCAGATGGGATCAGGAGGGTTCAAGTCATTCGAGTCCCGCCGATTCGACATCAACAACAACATCGACAAATTCAACGAAAAAAAAAGAAACAAAATCAAGGGGCAAGGGGAAAAATTCAAAACGCGATCGTAATTCACCATTTTCTCAGGGAGATTAAAGAAAAAAAAAATTGAGAGATTTTTTTTCTTTAATTTAAATCTTTTTTAAAATTTTCCAAATTTTCTAAAAGGTTTTTACCCTGTAAAAAAGGAATTTTTTCCTTTACAGTCAAAATTTAAATTCGAATTTACTTTTAAATTATTAATTCTTTTAATTTTATTTATTTGTAATTTAAAGAAAGAAAATTGAAAACAAAAATTTCTATTATTGAAAAGAAATAGAAATCACCGCCATTTGCAAATTGTGGTAAATATTTGTATTTTTTATCTCAAAAAGTAAAATTTGATTTTTACATTATCGTATGTCACATGAGAAAGTATTATTTTTCTTGTAGATATTTTACATATAAACAGTATAAAAATTGATGAAATTTTTCTGTTAAATGTAATTATTCGAATAGAGACTGTTTTTATAATAAGAAAATATTTATTTTTCGATTTGTGCTTTTAAAAACTGATCCGAAAGAGAGATAAAGAAAGTGGAGGAGAGAGAAAGATAGAGAGCTTCCTTCAATAAACAAATTTTAATTTATTTAAAATAATACAATACTTAATTATGTAAAAACAAATACTTTATGAATAAATAGAAAAGAATATAAACATAAAATTTCTCTGCTTTGTATCTTAAAAGTCATAAGAATGTTTTGTTTGTTAAAACTTGAAAAGACGTCATTATTTGAAGGCCGATAAGGCCTAAATGCTAAAACTTTATCTATTGTTAGAAACATTAAATAAAACGTTTAGGTTTATAGAAAAAAAAAAGTTTTACGAAGTTTGAAATAGAGAAAATATTTAAACAAATTTGACAATTTTTTTTTGAGTTTAATTTAGTAAAAATAATTAAAATAACAAGAAAGTTTAATAAGAATAATTTTTGAAGCGAAAACAATTAAAATATTTAGTGTAACTAAAAATTTTTTAATCAATTACTTTTAATTGTTTAAATAAATTTTTTAAAGTACAAAAAAAAGATTCTTTCCAGAATTTTTCAAATGATTTTTAAATTTCAAAAATCTACATTTAACTTTACTGTAACTTTAATATTTTAAAAATTATTGCTTTTATTTCATCGTTTAAAAATTTTTAAACTAAAAAAATTTGACAGTATAATTATTTAAATATTTTGCTTGAAAAAAAAAATTCAATTTTTTCAAATTTCTAAATACAGAAAAAAAAGGTTTGAATATTTTTCTGTTAAACATTAGTGATAAATTTTGCAGAAAGATAACAAAAAAAATTGAAATAAAAAACTCGGAATACGTTTGGAAGGCAATAAAAATTCAATTTACGCAAAACTCTAACTATGTCGTCAAAGTTTTTGCGTTTTTCTATATATACATAGGTGATTAGAGATAACTGAGTTTGAAAAATTACTTTATTTTCATTCCCGTTAGTAAATACAAGTGTATTTTCTACTTTCTAAGTTTAAAATTTAAAAAAATATTATTCCTTTTTTTTCTATACTTACAAATTTTTAGTTTATTAATTATTTAAAGTTCTTAAATTTGAAACATTTACATTTATCTTTGCTGTAATAATTTTAAAATTATTGCATGTCATCATTTTTAAATTTGTAATCGTAAGTTTAAATTCAAAATGGAAAAATTTTTAAACTGAAAAACTTTAACAGTATTTTAAAACAATTTGCTTCTAACTTTATTAGGTTTAAAATTCATAAAAAATTATTGATTTCATTTTTAAAGTTTGAAAATTTGTCATTGTTTCAAATTTAAAAACTTAAAATTTTTTTTAACCTTTTGCAAAAAAATTTATTATATTGTAGTAGTTATAAGTCATTAAAATTATTTAATTTAGTAAATAATTTTATTTATTTACAAAGTTAAATTTTAAACAAGTGTTCAGAAAGAAAAAAAATTCATTTCGAATCGTTTGAAATTTGGTGAGTAAGATCTACTTATATAATTATTTTTAATGCAATTTTTTATATGACAAAGAAATATAAAAATTTTAAGTATTTGATAATCAATAATTATATTTAAATATAAATAATATAGATAGGCATTTTGTGTAGATAAAGATAATTAATTTATTTATACTTTTAAAGTTGTTTCTCTTTTTGGATTTTTATGAAATTTTCCTGATTAGAATATTCTAGACATATCCGGAATTATTCAGAAATTGTACGGTCCATAATTGTAGGATTTTTATTTGGAAACCGAAGAAATTATCATTTATATAATGGAAAAAATAAATATCAATTTTAAAATGCTTCTTTAGCTGATTTATTTTTAATTTTTACAAAAATTTAATCAAATAATTTTTTTTGCAAACCTTATTTTCATTTAAGTAAAATAATAACTAATCTTCGCAGGTAATCTTAAAACAAGCTAAAAACTGTATAAAAAATCATATATTATTCAAAATGTTTCTATTTAAAATTATGAGGCGCATGATTATTCCCCAAATGTCATTTTACCGAATTGCATTTTATTTGAACTGTTATTTTAACGAAATGTCACTTTTGCGAATCGCCATTTTTACGAATTGTCACTTTTGCGAAAAGTCATTTTTGCAAAATATCATTTTTACGAATTGTCATTTTTACAAATCGTCATTGTTTCGAAATGTCATTTTTACGAATTGTCATTTTTGTGAATTGTCATTTTTGCGAAAGGTTCTTTTTTCGAATTGTCGTTTATGCGAACTGACATTTTTTCGAAATTGTTATTTTTACGAATTGTCATTTTTGCGAAAATTGCTATTTAATGACAATTCGCAACAGTGACATTTCGTTAAAAATGACAGTTCGCATAAATGACAATTCGTAAAAATGGCGATTCACAAAAGTGACATTTCGTAAAAATGGCAGTTCGCATGAATGACAATTCGAAAAAATGACAATTCGTGAAAATGGCAATTTGCAAAAATGATATTTCGTAAAAGTGACAATTCGTAAAAATGGCGATTCACAAAAGTGACATTTCGTAAAAATGACAATTCGAAAAAATGGCAGTTCGCATAAATGACAATTCGTAAAAATGGCAATTCACAAAAATGATATTTTATAAAAATGACATTTCGGAACAATAACGATTTGTAAAAATGACAATTCGTTAAAATGATATTTCGCAAAAATGACAATTCGTGAAAATGGCAATTCGCAAAAATGATATTTCGTAAAAGTGACAATTCGAAAAAATGGCAGTTCGCATAAATGACAATTCGTAAAAATGGCAATTCACAAAAATGATATTTCATAAAAATGACATTTCGGAACAATAACGATTTGTAAAAATGACAATTCGTAAAAATGATATTTCGCAAAAATGACTTTTCTCAAATATGGCAATTCGTAAAAATGGCGATTCGCAAAAGTGACATTTCGTTAAAATAACAGTTCGAATAAAATGCAATTCGTTAAAATGACATTTGGGGTATAATCATGCGCCTCATCTGGAATTCACAATACGAAGTTTAATAAAATAATATTTTAAAAGTAATATTTTTAGTTTTCAATAATAAAAATTAGTGTTACAATAATGCTAGAAAACATCCCCTCTCAATGTAAATTTAGATACATGGTCTAAAATCTAACTATATAATGGTCCCTCCTCACATTATTGATTTTACCCCGTCCATGAACTTCTTAACACCATATTCTCTCAATTAACGTACTTTTGAATATTATTCCTCGAAAAAAATCAATTTTGAAATAAATATTCTCCATTTATTCGCAACTTCATATATTATAATTTTCTTTTAACCTGCTTTTAACAAGATTTTAAAATTTGTCCAAATAAAAGCGAATCATGTAATACAAAGTTTGGCGCGTACTTTAAAATCAACCAATCAGAAATTAGTGGAAAAATATGTGATTGGTTTAATTCTTTCTTCTTTTAAATCGTCACTTTTCTCATTTTCATCGAAGGAAAAATTTTAATTAGACTTTTGCCTAAAAAAGAAAATAAAATTAAGGCTATTTCAAATTATTGAAAAATTGCTTTTCATCAAATTTTCATAATAGGTGAAAATTAATTTTTACCATTGATAAATTTTTTTTTGAATTTTCCCTTGGAACTAATTTTTAATTTCTCTTTCAATCAATTTTAAATTATTAAGACATTATTAAAAATTTAATTATTACAAATTTTCCGATAAAATATTCTTTCAAGCCTACTGATAATAATTTAGTGAAAAATAATATTTTTTTTTGGGATAAAATTGAAAATTTTTCTTTATTTCAATAGTTGAGGGGATATTTTTTCGAGGGCGCTCGCTCTGGCAACACTGGATGCCAATGAACTTTGACTCTAATTGCAAGACGTGGCAACAGTGGATAATAACAACGCTGTTTACTTTTATCTAAGACACTGACGTATCTTTAAATTTCAGTTCACTGCGGACTTTGGTAACGTGAAGAGGGTTTTTAATACACGTTTCGAGAGCGAGAGTTTTTCTTTGTTTGGTGTGCTCGTTGTATGGGTGAGTAAATAAAATCAATCATTTAAATTTTTTAACAACTTTCTTATATATTAATACTTATCGACCAAAATTAATTCAAATTTTTATGAACCATTTTTTTTTATAGAAGAAAATAAAAAAAAAAAAGATTTCTGACATTACTATTAAAATTAATTTTCTAATTTTTTTTTAATTCCACTGTGAATTTTATTTTTCTAAATTTAAAATCATACTTTGGAAAAGATGATAAAATTAAAAAGAAAAATATATTTTTCCCTATGAGTGACGTATTACAGGAATGGAAATTATTTTCCTGTTGCGACACTATAAGCAATATAGGTAAATAATTCCTCGAACAATGACATACGACGTTTAGGTGTAAATCTTTGTTTTTTTATACACGTGATTGACGATTGAAAACGATTTTTTTAAAATTCGTTTTATTTAATTTAATTTTTAATTAAATTTTAGTTTTTGATATTTAAAAAAAAAGTTTATTAACAATTGTTAATTTTTATTTAAAAAATTTAGAGTTTAAAAAAAATGTAGTTTACATTTAAACTTTTTTTTTAAACTAAAATAAATAAAAAAATAAATAATAAATATAATAATAATAATTAATAATATAATAAATAATAAATAAAATAAATTTAAAAAAGAAATAAATTTTGAAATCGTGATTCAAAATTTTAAACATGGTAAAAAAATAACATTTTACTTTAAGTGTATTATTTCCTTATATAATTTCCGGCAATTAATTCGTTTTAAATAATAAACATATTGAAGTAAAAACATTTACAAGAAAATTTTTTTAGAATTATCAGTTTTCCTTTTAAATATTCAAGAAAATAACTTTCAAGAAATAAATTGTAAAAAATAAATTTATAGTTTATAAAAAATAATAATTTTAAATAATATTAAATAAACCAAGCGCGTATTAATTATAATATATAATAATTTTTCCTTGATAATAACACAATTAAATAAAAATGATAAAATACAGTAATTATAAAATAATAATTATAATAATAATCATAATAATAATAATGAAAGCGATTAAAAATATTTTTTTTCTACCATAAGTAACATATTACTTACAATGTTATTATAATTATTATAATTTATTTAATTATTAAATTTTTTAATATTTTTTTATATTTATTTTAATTTACGTTTTTTATTAAATTATGTTGAAAGCTAATTTGCCCGCATATGTTCAAACTAAATTAACATAAATAATCAATAATAATTATAAATAATAAATAACAAACAATAAATAAAATAATAATAATAATAATAATAATAATAATAATATTGAATAAAAATATTATTAATAATTAATTAATTTATTTGTTTATTTACAATAATAACGGTACAGGACTTTTTTTTATAATAATTTCTCTTTATCTATTTTATTTTTTATAATATAATATAATATTTATAATAGTTTAATTATGACGGTTCAATTATAACAATAATATTTATTCTTTACTGTTTGATTATTATTATTAACTTAAATAAAAACTGAAGAAAATAGTAAATTATTTTTTTAAATTTGACCGAATGTAATTTTCCTCTTTTGGAAAAGATTTATTAAAAAAGTAAAAATTCATCCTTGAGTGCAAGGTTCTGTGCTTGAAATCATTGATCTTATTGATGAAATGATGAAACGTTAATTAGAATTTTACCGTTAATGACTCGAATAAAAAATATCAGTGTGCCAAGAAAAGCAAGGTCATCACAAGTCGGTGGAAATTCCTAAAGATTGCCGCTAAAACACGGCCTCTATTTTTATGCTAACTACCTTTCTAATTATCGCTCAATAATATCCAAATGTTACACTTAACTGAAAACATTTCATTTCTATTGAAGAAAAATTCTTACGAAAGTTTCGATTTTATTTCATAAAATAACTTGTACATACATATTGATTCGACAAAATAAATTTTTTTTTATCAGAAATTTTTATTTATTTATATTTTTTTAAAAATTTATTTTATTAAAATTTTAATTTATTTATATCAAAAAAAATTTTTTTTTTAATATTACACATAGTTTTGAAATATTATTTACTTTAAGGACATTTTTTGAACCATTATGACGTCACGGCTTGTACAAAGCATTGTGTTTTATAATTGTGACGTCATAATGGTTCAAATACCCTATTTGCTTTCTGTTTTTAATATTTTTAATATTAAAAGAAATAAATTTTTTAAAAAATATGAAAAAATAAAAATTACTTTGGCCTTTCTATACAAAATAAATATTTACTATTATTTATTTTTGATCTATTTTTGTTTACAAAAAAAAAGTTTTTTATCTATATAGTATAGGTACTAACTTTAGGGACATTATTTATGTATTTTTTGAATTAAACAAATAAAATCATTTTTTCGAATTAAAGAAGAAATATTGATATTTGAAAATATAGAAATTTATTAATTAATTTGTTTTGAGTTTAATTAAAAAAAAAAATTTTAATTAATTTTAAATTTAGGTATAAATTAAAGTTGCTTTTGAAAATTCCCGCGCTGCTCTCTACGCACCACTAGGGTGCGCAAGTTATTTTCTCACTCACTAATAACACGTTAGACCGGAGAAAAAAAAATTTCTTCTCTCCTAAGCCTATTAGAATTTTACAGAATTTTAAAAGTAACAGAAAATAAAGAATAGTAATTAATTACATCATAGTAATTAATTTTTTCTTAGTCGTGTATTTAAAAACCCAAAGATAAATAGGTTATGTTTTTCGCCCATTTAAACCTAATAGGCCAACGCACCATTGAAAATTGCAATAATATTTATGTGAGAGAGAAAAGGATGGACATATCTTTTCGTCCTTTTCTATCTCATCTAAAGTTTTCTTATATTTATATTATAATATATAACATATAATTTATATAATATAATTTTACGACGCAATAATATTACACAATGCGGTTAATATGAAGTCTGATTTCAAAGGTCGTACATGCACAACCACGTGGCACTTTAGATAGAGATATGTATCACTCGCGATAATTCTATATATGTATAGTTATGGTATGACTTTATTCACTTTTGTGACGTGATCGATAAACTCAAACATATAAACACCTATGTAGTGACTTATAGACTATTTCTGAGTATAGTGAATCATTGACCCATTCCACGAATTTTACGTGTGGATTCCAAGAAAAAAGACTCCCCATACAATAATAGAATTTTACTTTTTAAAATCATTTTCAATTTTCTACATTTTTCGCATTTTTTTTTATCCAAAACTAATTCATTGAAAAATTTAATTTTATTCTTATTTCGTAATCTATGGAAATCTTATCACAGTTTATCTGTTCTTTACCAACCAAATCATTTTTTTTTTATATCAAAATAAAGAACGTATAAAAAAGGTAAATATTTTCTAAAAAAATTTCCATTTGTTTCGAAATAATCGGTTGGCTATAATGGAAGGAAAAAAAAATCATTGAACATAATACGCAGTATGTGACGTTATCTGATAAGTTTATCTAAGGGGGAGAAACCGAATCATTGAGAAGGGGAAAAAACTTCTAATTCAAAATATTTCTGTTGTCATCAATTTTATCTTGATATAAGAGTCCGGGGGAATTTAATAATAAACATTAGTCGCTCTTGTAGTCAAGGAGAAGGATAATAGTCATTTTTGTAGAGACAATTTTGATTTGAAGAATTTTTTTTAAAGGTTTAAGTGTATCTTACTTAAACTGAAAAGGAAATATTTTAAGGATTACATGAGGTGGACAGAATGATTCAGTTTTGGGGTAAGAAGTCTTATTGTAAAATGTTTCATCATGGTTTGCTTTTGGAATTAAAAATGTTGTATTTCACTTATATCCGTTTAGGTGACTTTTTGGGGTGAAAGTCTTCTAATTAGGTTATGTCCCAAAATGATATTATAAAGGTTCATGTGACGAAATGCTTCGTTACAGATGTTGACCCTCTATCGATAATGTGATCATTGTCTAAAATCTTCTATTTAATGGCCTGAATTACTAAACTAAAAAACAATTGTTCGACAAATGTGATTATAAACGTCAAGTAGCGCTGAACACCAGTCAATTATTAATAACGCAAACAGTTTTCCACTGCTTGAAAATAACATTTTAGAGCGCTAGAGTGGAAATAAGTGAGATAAGTCGCTAACGTTTTCCAAACCGGATTTTGTTTAGCACATAGCTCAGGGAGGTCCCGACCTTTCTAATTTCCTAATAACCGCAGGTTTCCCTCTTATTTGTTGCTGCAACTTACAAAGCGAAAAAAATAAATTACTTCTCGTTCAGCATGCGAACTTTCAACCACTGGCAAAGGGGGAAAGGAAAAACGCCTTCACAAGTTAGTCAATGTCCTTAATTCCTGCTGATGTTCTGTCAGCCACTGTTTGAATTCCAAACATTTACCAGAAACACCAATTGAATTCTTAGTTTGAATAAATTGTTCCCTAGCTTCGGTTTTAGGTTCATATTACTCTGAATCTATTGTGACTGGTAGCAATGCAGTAGCGTTGGATCCTATTAGTGTCCCACTGATTTTGCCTTAATTGATGACTTTGTTATCTAGCTCTTTTGCTTTTTTGCTGTCCAAAGTAAAAAATTAGACTCTAAGTAGGTTAAAGAAAATTTTAGAACTGTCTCTTAGTCTTAGCCAAAAAACTGAAAACAAAAACTGAATCCACAAACAGACAAAAATCCGTAACAGAATTAGAAGACTTATCCGTATCATTCAAGAAAATTAGAATTAATATTGGTCTGAACGAAAAACTTTCTGTCTACTATTAATTACCCTTATGTGAATTAAACGAAATTTACTTTTTAAGAGCGAGAGAAGAATAGACAATACGCAGAGATCCCTGTGGAGCCAATAAGCAGCTACAGGGATGAGAATGGCTATGTGCCAACAGTTGGACGATGGGGCAGCGAATGGCCAAGTTGACTCACGACGACGGAAGTTTGCTATCAACCTTCTGGACAGGCCCGGGGGCCATGGATCAGAAATGTGCCTTTACCCTTGCCGGTATGGGCACACTACGAATCTCCAACGTTGAACGTCTCTACAATTGAACAATATGAGGAATTAGCGGGATGCGTTGAACTTGAAACTCAACGTTTATTACGCGAAAATCGCTACGACACTGTGGACAATGTTTTAAGGTATTTTCAACATTTTTCTATTATTATTAAAATCTATTTGATCATTTGACCTAGAGGTGGGCAACAGGATAGTAACCAAAACAATATCTTTGGAACTATTGCAATACATCTTCGACTACTGTTGTCAGGTTTATGATGATATTACAGATGAACTTAATAGAAAACTAGAAAGAGCATTGAACGCCTGTATTCGTTTTTTGTATAATCTACCAGACTGAGCATATAACTCAATATAGAATTCAATCGGGTTTATTTAATGTGGCTACTAGAAGGCAATATTTTATTGGTAATTTGTTGTATTCAATTATTAATAATAAGACTCCTTTATATCTTTTCGATTTTGTAAAATTTAAAAATGTTAATCAATCATGTTAGGCTAAACTCCGAGAAAGGAAAAATATTTTAGGTATACCTTTTCATCCTACTTGTATCACGCAAAGATCATTTATTGTCAGAAGTGCTAGATTATGGTAAAATATAATTATTTTTACAGATTCTACAAGTCGTTTAAGGAGAGTGGTGAAACACTATTGGACCGTTACTATCGCAAATATCAGCCGGTCATCACCCATCAACATCATACATGTGTTGGCCTAGGATTCGAACTGGTGTATCGTTTAAGCAAATTGAATAAGAAGTTTCCTGGAATTGAAAACGGCCTCTACTTGGTTTCGTGCGAAGAGGTACTTGCTTTAATTAACTAAAATTACTCCCAAACTGAATTTACCCAATAAACCATTTGTGATGAGTCAGAATAGTTTGTTTGCTGCTTTTATTTCGAGAATATCAAAGTTTAACAGGATAAGAATAATCTAGTCAATATTTACCAATGCCTTTAAGTTTTATGATTTCGAAAGGTTTTATATTGAATGCGTAATTAAGAAATTAAAAATTTCCCCAGACAATTGGAGATATCTCAGGTTATGTGGGAGGGCCTCCAGCGGCTGACAGTGGTGAGAAGGAGCACGTGTTGGTATGTTTGAAAATTTTGATAAATGGACGTCGAGGTGTTATGTTACTCGATCCAGGTTATCATATTGCTCGTGTAATAACTGTGATGGGTGATAAACTTTATCCACACACTGGCTGGTTTACACAATCGGATGAGCCTGAATGTAAAACGGAGTATAATTACGTGATGTGCGCTGAGGATCCATATTACGTCGAATGGCACGAGAAGAAAACACGCCCAAGTGCCTTAGAGCGTACTCAGGTCGCTCTTATTTACGTCGATAGACCATATCTTACTGCCATTGACGTCACGGAACGAAGAAACATAGTTTACAATTTAAGAAGTTTAATTGCTAGAGATAGCAAGGGTCATGTTGTGGCTGGATTTTACTTCAAGATAACATTGGACCCACCTGACGAACAGAGTTTTACCGTTTTTTACCAGACCAACGAAGGAAAGAAGAGATTTAAATTACAGTTCAACAAGTTTTACAATCGAACGAAGGTATTTACTTTTATTTTATTTATTCAAAAATAAGTTCCACTAAAATCACTTTCCATAAGGACAAAAGTAAAGAGAGACTTAAATCTTTAGAATTTGAAATTCTACGTTTTTTGGGATGACGAATATGATCTAGTTTTCAAAAATTCAAAATGTCGGACTTTAAAAGTATTCCTTTCTTTCTAGACTGATTTGGGAGAATCGGAGGAAGTGCTTCGCGAATGTGCTCGGCAATTGGATATGTCGCTTAACGATTTGGAAGATCTTCTTGGTGCGCTTGCCACTGTCATGAGGGATACGGCATTTACTGCACAACTTTTGGCGATTGATTCAAGAATCAACACATTGGCTGAAGACAATTAACAGACGACGAATCACCCCAAGCGGTGTGACGAAAAATTTTATTATTCCTTTAAATTTTTCCTTTTCTTCTTATTACTATTATTATTAAATATCATTTTAATCATTCTTTTCTTTATATCTTAAATGGGTTGACAGCATCTCCTTGGGTTCAAGTTATTTTTTTAACAGTGCTAATTAAAATATGAGATATAGAATATTTTTTTGAAAATCAGAGACATAACATATAGTTCTATGTAAAGCAGCTAATTATTATTGATTGACTATAAATTTACTATTGATACGGTTTAAAAATGATAATAAATTTCAAACATACAAAAGAATCTTGTCTTTCATTATAAATTCCTCGCATTTTGAAATTTCAGTGGATCATTTCTCAATCTTAATATTGGATGATTTATCTCGAAAGTCTTGCAAAAATGAAAATTTTGAATAAAACAGTAAGAGAAAGGTGAGTAATAAACAATTCGAATTTTCTATCACAATATATTTTTTATTACAATGTTGTTCATGTAAGAAGACGTAAATTAAAGGAAATTCTTAATTATTTTATCTTATTAACAATTAATCTTATTCTAAATCTTAATAATATTTAGTTATTATTTTCATATGTAATAAGCCTACGAGATTTTTTCACATGTGCTTTATTGTAAACATTTGTATTTTTCGAATTCATGTTAATAAAGGAATAAAATGACTGTGGAGTAGTAGCAACGATGATAAAAATATTTATATAAATATCTAACAAATCAAAAAAACAATATTATAAGTTGACCTTTCATGCAATGCTACTTACAAAAACATCTAATAGATAAAACTAACAATAATTAGATATAGAAAAAATATTTCCGTTCATATTCAAAATTTCGCGATTCAGCAGATTCAGCAGCCGATTGTTCTGTACAATAAGAAAATTAATAAAGATATGGTAAAATCTGAGGAGGTGAATACTGAACAGAAAACTTCATGAAAGATTTTATAAGTCTTCTGGAGAACCCAGTAATAAGGAATGAATAAAAGTGGATTGACACTTTTATGCCCTTAAATTCCAAACCAATTCCTTTATTGTCCGCAATCTTAATGAATTCCTTTTCTATTGTTAAGGTGTCCACGTGTCCAGAATTTGAATCACCTTTAATGCTCTTTAAAGAATTCAAGTTAATTAAAGGGCATTAACTCCGAATCTAATGATTCCCTTAAACAACATTAAAGTGAATTCAGATTCTGATCATGTGGTTACAGAGAATTTTATTTAATAGAAATGAACTTTAATTCACCCCTTATTACTGGAAATGTTATGAATACATGACCCAGAATTTAGTTTTGATTTTTTAGATTTTAATATTTAGATCCAATGTAAATCGGTTGGAGTCTTTTTGTTGATGTTAATGATTACAATTAGTTACACAAATCATTAATTTTTCATCTTAATATGAAAACACTAATTTAAATTTAACTGCATTGGTGTATAATCCTCTTTTTCTTGTTGTTCATAATAATTATTCTTAGGAAATAAAACAACATTGAGATTAGACATGAAAAACCCAAATTCGAGTTTACCTATTTTTGGTTATAATCCTCTATTTCTTGCTGTTCAGAATGGCAGAATTGTAATTGTTATCGGGACATCAAATATTACAAAAAAGTGAAGATGGAAATTTAACTGAAATTAGGCTCGGGGCGCAATCCAAGCCCACTCGCAAGTTCACTTCGGAGTTCGAGTGAGGGAAGTATTGGAGTTAAATTATTCCAGGATATTGGGTTGTAGGACTGGCGAAGTGGAACATTGCGAAGGAATTCACTCGTGCTTCGCTACCGGACAATGTCAAAAAGTGCCTGGGACTCGTAGTCACTCATTGTAGTCAATTAGCATTAATGCAAACACATACGGTAAACGGTACACAATTGGATATTGCTAAGTTTGGATTCGTGAAGAATTTATATTCTAGATTCTCTAAATGGGAAAATAAGATAGTTGCAAGGTATAAAATCAAAGAAGAATTAATTCAATTCACTGCTGTTTTACGTTTATTTGTTACAATATAAATAAATTTTTAGGGTAGCGTTTCCGTCAGGAAACAGAAAACCTTTAATTTGGTTACATAACATGAAAAACCAAATTCAAATTTAGGTTCATTAGGTTATAATCCTCTATTTCTTGCTGTTCATAAGGGCTGCATTGAAATTATTAGAGGGACATGAAATATTATAAAAAACTTAATCTCATGTTGCACATGATGTTTGAGTTTACAGATCACAAACCTTTAATTTGGCTCTACAACATGAAGCACCAAATTCGAATGTGGGTCATAATCCACTATTTCTTGCTGTTCATAAGGGCTGAAGTGCGCATGATAAAGAAAACCTTTATTTGGTATAATCCACTATTTCTTGCTGTTCATAAGGGCTGAATTTAAATTGATAGAAAAACCTTTATTGGGTATAATCCACTATTTCTTGCTGTTCATAAGGGCTGAATTGAAATTGATAGGAAAACCTTTATTGGGTATAATCAACTATTTCTTGCTGTTCATAAGGGCTGAAGTGCGCATGATAAAGAAAACCTTTATTTGGTATAATCCACTATTTCTTGCTGTTCATAAGGGCTGAATTGAAATTGATAGGAAAACCTTTATTGGGTATAATCAACTATTTCTTGCTGTTCATAAGGGAAGAATTGTAATTATTGGGACATGAAATATTATGAAAAAGTGAAAACAGAGTTAAAGGGTAAGTTAAAAGTGAAAAAAGACCTTTCTCCTAATTCTTGGTAAGGAACTCTCAGGAAATTGTGAGTGATTTTAAATCGCTCATGAAAAGATTTATCAAGTTTTCTTTTCCTAGGGATAAGTAAATATATACCTAATTTTCGAGGTATAGTTACCTCAAAGGTAGAAATGAATTAGGAATCTCAGATGCCGAAAAAATGCATTATCTGAAAACAAGTCTTCCGATTGAGAAAGCAGGGCGCTTCTGCTGGACTAATTCCACTTGCAATTCATAATGTCAAATTGTTATTATTTCTTGCTTAGTGGTAGGAAAGGATTAATTAATCTCCAATGCCGAAAAGATGCAATATTTAAAAAAAAGTCTCCTGCTTGAAGCAGATGAAATTATCACTAGCGGAATATCTCAGTTCTAATTATTATTGGAGAAAGCACGACGCTTCTGCATATTCCACTTGCTTTCATTAATAACTTGACGATAATCTACTATTTATTGCTGTTCATAATGACAAATTGTAATTCTCAAATTAGCAGACGCAATAAAAAAAATTATTAAAATTTAATGAAAGGCTGGTAACAGCCATTAGAATTAATTAATCTCAAATGCAGAAAAAATGCATTACCTTCGAACAAGCCTCACGGGCCATTAAAATTAATTAATCTCAAGTGCCGAAAAAATGCATTACCTTCGAACAAGCCTCACGGTAGAAGCAGGTGAAATTACATATTATATCAGAATATCTCTGTTTTAACTGCTTGAGAAGACAGGGCGCTTATGCAGGAAAAATTACACTTGTAAGTTATAATGACAGATTGTAATTCTCAAAGTTAGAGTCAATATGAAGATGTTTAAAGGGTAAGTTAAAAGTGAAATAAGATCTTTCTTTTATCTGTCACAATATGAATAAATTTTTAGGGTTGCGTTTCGGTTAGGAAACAGAAAACCTTTAATTTGGTTTCATAACATGAAAAACTAAATTCAAATTTAGCTTTATTGGGTTATAATCCTCTATTTCTTGCTGTTCATAAGGGTTGAAGTGCGATAGACAAAGAAAATTATATTGAGTATAATCCTCTATTTCATGCTGTTCATGCTAGTTCAAATTGATAGGGGAACCTTTATTGGGTATAATCCTCTATTTCTTGCTGTTCATAAGGGCTGAATTGAAATTGATAGGAAAACCTTTATTGGGTATAATCCTCTATTTCTTGCTGTTCATTATGCCAGAATCGTAATTATTAGAGGGGCATGAATTATTATGAAAATGTGAAAATTCATGCTGTACATATTGACTAAATTTACAAGATCACAAACCTTTAATTTAGCTGCACAACATAAAACGAACGTCGAATTTGGGTTATAATCCTCTATTTCTTGTTGTTCATAAGGGGAAATTGTTAGGAAAACAAAAAAAAAACGTGAAAAAATAGGGAATTTTCTGAAAAGAATATTATGGAAAACAAAAAAATTGTTGTAGAGAAAAAACTTCTTCCAACATTAAGAGAATTGTAACTCTGCGGCTTTTTTTCATTTCGTACGAACTTGGAATTAAAAACAAAAATTGTTGCTTTATATTCTGTCATGAATTCATAAACTCTAGGAGTGCTCACTGAACCTGCAATTAGCTGAAATAAAAATATCACGGAAGTATTTTTTTAAGGAGGCGAATAATAAAATTACATCCGAATGTCAACGAATTCGACAATATTTATTTTTTAGTTTAGATGTAAATAAACCGAAACATAAATATTTGTTTTTAATTGTAACTTTTTATATTGTGAATAATCATTTTATTCCTTTTAAAAGCCATGTTCAAGTTTGACATATATATATATATAACGTAAAAAAGAAAATACTTTCATCCCCACTGAATTGTATCCTGAATTAATTATTCTTACTGCTTAGTAAATTATTTACATAACTTGCTTTCGTAAATTTTCTCGTCTTCTATAATGTAGAAACTGATATTCTTATAAATAATGCGGTATTATTTAATCTCACGAGGAAATATAATACAAATGTTCTACCTACTAGAAAAATTACCATGGACATGGCCTAAAATAATTAAAAATGCTTCGAAAATTGAAGGTATAAACAAAAATAGGTACATAATGATTTAAGAACATAATTTCAAATATAATTAGACATCTTTGTCTATCGTATGTAAAAGCTATTTTTTTATAAATAAAAATAAGGAAACAATAAATATATGCATGATGTGTAATGAATGTCAGAAAAATTTACAGGCGTATAGACTATTAATTTTGTTTTAAATCTTAAGTCTAATTTCTAATTAAGATCCGTAAATGCGAGTGTAATCGTACAATATCTATGAATTGGATAAAATATCTTACCAGCAGTTGTCTAAATTTTTGCTTTTACTAATTATAACAACGAGTAGGGTAAGTGTACCAATTGCCGAGGGTGTTCCATTTGTCGATGTTACCATGGTAATAACCAAAAAATATTGTCTAAAATGTCTCATTTGTTTGTTTATATAATATTAATATATTTTTTTCACATTTATAACGCATAAAAAAATTAATATTTATTACTTTTTTTGATTTACAATGTGCTACACTGTTTAAATAAAATTCAAAGTTTGTTTACTCGACAACAGGAACCATCCTCGACAATTGGTACGTTTACCCTATGTACTTAAAAATATTTTAGGATTTTTTTAATATTTAAAATTCTAATGATTAAGATTAACGATAAATCATAATGCCAATTACAATTGCATTTACAAAATAAATTCTTTTTTTTTTGGAACTGAATTTAATTTACGTCTTCTTTTATTGAAGCATAGCAGAAATAAAAAGTAGTGGCTTTTTGAAAAAATCTCCATTAAAATACTAATTATCTAAATACTATTAATAGTTTCACATTGAATACCACCATCGGGATGGGGTCTACATGGTTCCTGACTTACCTCCTCTTGGACATCGGTTTTCTTACTCATATCATCGCGTGGCTCATCATTCGTATGCTTCTTCATGTGGGTCGTTAAATTACCGCTGTGATAAAATTCCTTGCCACAAATTGTACATTGAAATGGCTTTATTCCAGAATGAATACGTTCATGAATCGATAGATTGCCACTGTGACGAAATTCCTTCGAACATACACTGCATTTATAGGGTTTTATTCCAGAATGCGTTCGAAGATGGGTCGACAAATTTCCACTGTGACTAAACATTTTCCCACAAATTTGACATGCGTATGGCTTTTCACCTGAATGTGTACGCATATGAATTGCAAGATTACCACTGTGTGTGAAACATTTTTCACATTGGGGACATTTATAGGGACGTTCACCATTATGTGTACGCATGTGAATAAAAAGATTTGATTTGTGTCCAAATTCTTTGAAGCATATTTCACAGTGACACTTGGGTTTCTTTGAATTGGGATCGGATGAGGAAGACGATTTATTTGTTGGACTAGTTGTGCGCTTTATCACTGAGGAAGGGGATGATTGTGATTGTTCAGTAATATTTGTATTTTCTACTGGATTCGATTCACTCATTGGTGTTTGTGTCTCTGACTGGCTCATTGGGAATGGATGTAGATAATTCATCACCGCGAATTGTGACTGCGTTTGCTGAAAAAAAAAATTACATCAAGTTTTTCTTTGATTTTTTTTCCATCGAAAGAAACTTACAAAATACAAGTCCAAAGGGGCTTAAAGGGATAAAGCCATTTTGATATTTTTAAAAAATTCCAGGCCTCGGATTCAATTTAGAAATTGAAAAATAGTATTACTAGATTTTCCCTAGCGCGTCTAATTTAAAAATTTCTACTTGAAGGTTTTCGAGGTCAAAGATTATGAATCGGATGTTTGTTTTTAAAAATTCAAAATGGAGGATCCAATATGGCGGACGAAAAAGTTCAAATCAAATTTTTATTAGAAAAATTCTAGAAAAATTGAAATTATTTAAATTAAAAAATAAATAATTTATTGAATAATTGAATGCTTGTTAAAATTGAATTCTCATAAAGAATTTTATCAACAAATTTTTAAATAATTGAATTTTCATAAAGAATTTTATCAACAAATTTTTAAATAATTGAATTTTCATAAAGAACTTTATCAACAAATTTTTAAATAATTGAATTTTCATAAACAATTTTATCAATAAATTTTTAAATAATTGAATTCTTTTTGAAAAATTTTAATAAAATTTTTAAGAATAATTACATTTTTCGAGGAATTTGATTAAAATTGTATCAAAAATAATTCAAATTCTGTGATGATTTTTATTATTTATGAAAATAATTTAATTCTTCCAACGAATTTTATTCAAGTTTACAAAAATAATATTGAATTCTTGCGACGAAATTTATAAAAATCTTTTTAAATAATTGATATTTTTTGAAAATTTTTATAAATTTTTGTACATTAAATAATTGAATTCCTGGAAAAATTTATTAAAAGTTTTGTAAATAATTGAATTCCTGTGAAATTTTGCCAAGAATTTTATTAGAATTTTTAAAAATAATTGAATTTCTGTAAAGAATTTTTTTAATTATATAAATAATTGAATTCTTGCTACGAATTTTATTCAAATTTATAAAAATAATTGACTTCTTGCGACGAATTTTATAGAAGTTTTTTAAAAAAATAATTGATATTTTTCGAAAAATTTTATAAAATGTTGTCTATTAAATAATTGAATTCCTGTGAAAATTTTATTACTTATGAAAATAATTGAATTATTTCAAAGAAATTTATTTAAAATTTTGTAAATAATTGAATTCCTGTGAAATTTTGCCAAGAATTTTATTAAAATTTTTAAAAATAATTGAATTTCTGTGAAAAAATTTATTATTTATGTATAAATAATTGAATTCTTGCTACGAATTTTATTCAAGTTTATAAAAATAATTGACTTCTTACGACGAATTTTATAAAAATCTTTTTTAAATAATTGACATTTTTCGAAAAATTTTATGAAATTTTATATATTAAATAATTGAATTCCTGGAAAAATTTAATTACTTATGGAAATAATGGAATTATTTCGAAGAAATTTATTAAAAATTTTGTAAATAATTAAATTCCTGTGAAATTTTGTCAAGAATTTTATTAAAATTTTTAAAAATAATTGAATTTCTGTGAATAATTTTATTATTTATAAAGATAGTTGAAATTTTGACGAAAATTTTATTATTTATAAAGATAATTGAATTTTTGACGAGAATTTTTAAAAAATTGTTGATCATAATAATTGAAGTTTTGCGAAGAATTTTTATAACTTTTGAAAATAATTGAATTTTTGGAATCATTTGTAACTTTTTCAAAATTCAATTTTTTAAAAATTATTTTTAACTAAAATTCTTCTATCAATCTAGTATTTATGAAAATTTTAAAAATTATTCATTAAATAATTTATAAGTCATAATTTTCTGATAGTTCTTGAAAAATTAAGTTATTTAAAAAAAAATTATTGTGATAAATAGAAAAAATTGAAGGTTTTGTATTAAAATTCGTGGTAATTTCATAGTTTACGAGGCAAACAAAAAAAAACATCAAAATTCAGAGTTTTCTCATGAATTTTCAAAAATTCAATTTCATCCAGTACTTTTACCAAAAAAAATCCCTGACTTTTCCCTGACCATTTTTTATTTACCCTAAGAAGAAAATGATTAAAATTTACATATACTCAAGTTATAATATTTCTTCTCGAAAAAAATGCGATTATTTTTTTACCTCATGCGGATGGATGTCTGGTCGGAAAGGAACATCATGTTTTGGCTGATTTCCTTCACATAATTGAACACTTGGCATTTGTGTCTGACTCCAAAAATGGGGTAATTGACGGTATATGTACTCAACATCCTGACTAGTGAATGATGAATATTCAAAGTTGTTTTGCACGCTAGTACCATTTTGGTTGTCCTCTGAATTGTTGTATTCTTGCTTTATTTGCACCGAACCAAACATCTGCGGATTTTATTAAAACAATTATCATTTAAAACACATTTTTCTTTTCCATCATTATTCCAAAATAGGTATTTTTTCTTCAAAAACTGTTTTACTATTTTGAAAATAATTAATAATATGTACATTTTTGCAAATTTCCAAAGCGTCACATTTAAATTTAAGAAAAACAATCATTCCAAATCCTATCAATTTTAAAAAATTTCTTGTTGCTACGAGTTCTCGTCACTACAATAAAAAAATTGTTAAAAAAAAGATTTTTTTTTAAAAAATTAAAAAAATTAAAAATTGTTATTATATAGTAAAAAATAAAAAAAAAAATAGTAAAAATATGATATATAGTAAAATACATAACAAAAAATCTTTGTTGGAGCACGTTTTTAAAATAACCTCAAAATAAAAAGAAGTTACCTTATTTTGATTTTGATGGTAAAAAGCACTTTTTTTGTACATAAAAAAATAAAAATAATTTCGAGTTGTACATCTCTCTCCAAACGAGAGAGGGAGAGAAAAAAAAGAGAAATATTCAGTTAAATGGGTAAAAATTTAAAATACAATCTCCATTGATATTTTATGTACACAAGTCTCTCGTTTGGAGAGAGAAGCACAACTGAGTCATCAAACTATGAACATTCGTAAACGTCTTGCTCAAGCGCAGTAATATAATCTTGATATAACAAAGGTTCTCAATTATATTATTAAAATAAAAACTTGAATATTTTTTTAAATATCATTTTTCTTAAAAATAAATTTACTGACTAAGGATTCTATAAATTTTTATTTAATGAAAAGTGGACGAACAATTTCCATCACCTATTTAAGTATAATTGTGTAAATGGTAATAATAAAAAAAATAGTAAAAATGTTACAAATTAGTATTTTTTATAGTGAAAAGAAGAAATAGTTTAATATAATAATTTTAAATACCACTGAGAAAAATGTAACGTAACTTTTACTACTTTTATAGTAAAACATGTTTATAGTAACTTTTACTACTTTCGCAGGGCTCGGAACGACTTTAAGGTGCAAAAAAAGTCACTTTAGTCGATTTAAAATAGAAAAAAAGTCGAAAAAGTCATTTATTTAATTAATTCAGTGTCGTCACAAAAAATTTATTTTTTATTCTTCTGATCTTTCACTGATTTCTAAATTTAATTATTTAAAACTTGAATAATTTCGTTAAATAAATATTTAAATACTTCTTGTTTGTTTTTATACGAAAATAAAATTTTAAAAATTTCTATTTAAAACCTTCTGAAATTTAATAACTTCTAAAAATTACAACTTTAACTCTCTTAAAATTCAATTATTTTCTACAATTTTTAATCAAACTTCTTCTCGAAATCAATTACTTTTAATAATTTTCCGAAAATTCTTAGAGAATTCAATTATTTAAATATAACTTAGAATGTTTTCAGAACCTTAATTTTTGTTAAATAAATCTGTTAACATTGTGACCATAAGGCCACAATATAAACAGATTTATTATATAAATACAAAAATTTAGTTCTTTATAGTGATTCTAACTGTCCATGTTTTTTAAGTTATTAATTATTTTCAAAAAATTATAATAAACAAATTCTTAAAATTAATTTTTCAAAAATATTTTTTAAATAATTTATGAAAGATAATAGTCGAAAAAAGTCGAAAATGTTAATTATTTGTTAATTAAACTATTAAGTAATAATTATTAATCAATTAAATTGTAAAGCAATAATTATTAAATTTAATTATTAGGTATTAATTAGTAATAATAATTATTAATTAATCAAATATTTTACAGTACCTCCAACTTTTTTTTTTTGGTTCAAATATAAAAAAAAATAATACCTAATGAAACCTCAATTTTCAAAAATTTTAAAATATGCAAAAAAAATTATTGCAAATAATTCAAAAATATCGATTTTTTATTTATTTTTTTTCAAAAATCGAAGGTTAATTTTCTTTTTATTAACAGAAAATGTATTTTTGAAAAAAATTACTTTATTAAAATTAATACCTTGTTAATTACTTAATTATTCAAATTAATATCGAGTCAAATAATTATTACAATTAATATGTAACTAATTTATTTTTATAAATTAATTAAATAATAAAAATAAAACAATATTAACTAATTAATAAAAAATAATTGTTAATTTAGTTTTAACGTTAATAATAATTACAGGGATCACAGTGATTTTTTCATTAATATTAGGCAAAAAAGAGGATTTTACTTTTCAAAAAGGGGAATTCAAGCATAAGTAAAAATTTTTCTAACAAATGAAAATATTGAAATAAAAAATTTGGTTATAATTTAAAAAAAAATTGTATAATTAAAAAATATTTGAAAAAAAAATTTTCCCTTCTTAAAGAGAAATAATTTTAAATCATTGTTTTGTTTAAATAATTCACTTACAGCTCAAGATGTTTAGTTATATTCCAAGCATTTAACTGTCGAAAGCAATCAACATTTCACAATAAGATAATTGGACGCATTGCAATATTTCGAGTTAATTTTCGAATTATTACGTTTTCTCTTTCTTTCTATGCAGAAATTTTTTTGCCTGGAAAAAAGAAGAAAGAAATATTTTATTTTCAATTTTTGAGAAAATTCCCTTTTTTTTATTATCAATTATTTATTTAACATCTTTAATATTTACCAGAAAAATAAAGTTTAAAAATAAAATACAATAAATTCGCTTTATGAAAATTTTTTTATTAAATTCGAGATAAAAGTAAATTTTTTCCCATAATTTTCATTTCGCTGAAAACGAAGTCATAAATTTTGTGCCACGCCACAAAGTTCAAGGAACTCGGAATAAGAAAGGAAATAAAAATGCGAAAAAATAAAAAAATAACCGCAACTTTTTTTGGAACTAAATTTTTTTCACACTTTTTTAATGTTAATTCTTTATATTTTCCTATTTTTTCCCCCCCATTTACTCTTTATTTCGTGTATCTTATTTTTAAAAACCCATTAAAATTATAGTCATACCGAATATGAGAAGGAAGAATTTTAAACGTTTTTCATTCAATTTTCACTGGGAAATTTATAAAAATTTCCCTACTTTACTTGCAAATATTCAAAGAAACTTGAATTTACACGCTTTTTTTAAAAATGAAATGAATTTTTACAGTTATTGTATTCTTTTTTAACGATACAAGCTGTTTGCTTTATATTTGATAAAGAGATTTGAAAGCCATAAATTAAAAATGGAAACTCACATAACCTTAAGAGAGTTTACTATGTTTCATTTATTGTTTGACAGTAGAATGAAAATTCACATCCTTCACTTGTGGAATGTTTAAATTAATAGGCGATGATATTAAGTACATTTTTCAATTAACCGAAAATTTAAATATTTAAATAACAAACTGAAATTTAATGTGGATAAAACTACATTATTATAATTCAGGTTATATATCGGAGAATTATATACATATATATATATGTTAGAACTGCGTTGTATTTGGTCACTGATCAATGATTTTGTAGAACAACTTTTAATGTGGACAACTTTCGAAAATAATGGTAAACAATGGTAAATTCGCGAATTTTTTACGTAATTGAACGTAACGGTAAAGGTTGAATCACATGTGTAGGCGTAAAGGTGTTTACACAATTATTAGGGTCTATTCACAAATTTCAATGTTAAAAATACATTTTCTAAATTTTGGACAACTTTTCAAAATGTTGTCCAAACCGGAAGGAAGACATATATGATATTGGCTGTATATTGATAATATCGCTCATTTTTAAATTTTCGTAATTATGTTGATAATTTAAATAATGCTTTTTATTAAAAACTTTATTAGATTAACAAGATTAAAAATAGTTAATAATAAAAAATATTAAATACTAGCGTGTGACAGAGACAGACTATGGCGCACATGCTTTTTAATTTTCAGCATTGTGAATAAACCTTTAAAATTCCCTGTGACAATCTGTTCATTGCCAACCCTGTTGATAGAATATTTCCTGTGAATTGGTTACCCATTGCTGGCCTGTTTGATCTTTTTCTTCTTGACACTTTAACAAGATGGTGAGTTTCGTTTATAATTTTTGTCGAAATCCAATTTAATCTGAAACATCGTTAAGAAAATAAATATGTTTCTACATTTTAATTATAAATTTAAAGTGGTTTTTTAATTTTTAAAAGAAATTGTGTTTTTTCATTGAGGATTTTGTGAATTAATGAGTGATTAAAAGATGCTTGAAAATCGTGCTTTGTGTTGTCAATTTTTTTTTTCTCTTATTTAGTAATGAAAATATAAAGGAGAGTTATAATTTGTTAAATTATTTAAAGTGTTGTAACATTTTTTTATAGTACAAATATTAAAATTTGTGGTTTTATTAATTTACTTATTTTGAGGTTAAGTGGTGCGAAATTTTCGTACAGGGAAAATTTTTTATTTTATTTAAAATTTTATCCTCCAGAGGGTCGATTTTAACTTTTTCGTTTGAATTTTGCACTTGTTTTTTAAAACGTGTTTGTTTGGAATTATCAATTTTAAAATTTATATTTTGTCGTTTTTTAGGTTATGTTCATATGTCACATGAGATTATTTTGATTATATTTTTAAATAATTTAAAAACAAGTGACACTTATTACTTTATTAATATTTTTATAATCATTCGACAATTTTTTAATTATTTAACAATTTTATAAATTGAACAACTTTTTTTGTTCATAAATTTTTAAATTGTACAAAATTAAGTTGCAATGCTTTTTAAGAGAAGACAAAACTAAAATTTATATGTATTTTAATTTTGTATTCTATTAGAGGTCTGAGTAGTATATTTTTCGACATTGTTAAGAATATAAAATTATTCCAAAAATTTAAAATTAGGAAGAAAAAAAATAGACTGGTTCAAATGAAATAAAAAAAATGAACTATTACAAAAATTGAAAATTTTTTAAAATTAAATTTTGTAAAATTAACAATTTTTTATTTGTTTTACAATCTTCATTATTTTTCGTCTTCAATTATTTTCTTATGCTTCTTTATTATTTGAAATATTTTATGAATTTAAATTTTTTTCATATTTTATGAATATAACATTTTAAAATATTTTCTGAATTAAAAAATTTTAAATATTTATGAATATACATTTTTTTAAAAATATTTTCTGAATTTTTTTCTTTACAGTCGCTAGTAATTCCAGAAAAGTTCCAACACATTTTGCGTGTCATGGGCACGAACATTGACGGAAACAGAAAAGTCATGTTCGCCATGACGGCAATTAAGGGAGTTGGAAGGCGTTACGCAAATATTGTCCTTAAAAAAGCTGATATTGATTTGGACAAACGCGCTGGAGAATGTTCCGAAGAAGAGGTGAGATAATTTCCAAATTTTTATTTTAATTTCAGTTTAAATATAAATATAATATTTAATTTCAAGAATTTTCTTTTTCGAAAATTAATAAAAAAAAAAATAAATTTAGAGAAGAATTTTAGTTAAAAATTCTAAGAAAATAATAATTGAATTTGAAAAGATGAAAATAATTTTAAAGAAGTTACAGTAGCAGTTTGAAATTTTTGAAAATCCTAATTCCTAAGGAGAAATAATAATGATTAAATATTTACAGGCCTCGGATATTATAACATTTTCGACTATTTTCAAAAAATGCGACTTTTTTCGACTTATTTTTAAAAATTACGACTTTTTCGACATTTCTTCCGAATATTGCAATAATTTTTAGCATAAAATGCAACTTATTTTCGAAATTTAGAATTGAAAAGAGTTTCAAAAAGTATTGAAATTTTGTAAAATTTAATTGAAAATAATTGATTTTTTTTAAAGTGTTTTATACAAATTTTTGAAAATCAACTTTTGAAGAATTTTAATTGCAAATTTTGAAAATAATTGAAATTGAATTTCTCTAAAGAATTTAATTTTTAAAAAAATTTTCAATATATTTCGAATAAATTCAATTATTTTCTAAAATCTTAATAAATCCTTCGAAACAATTCAATTATTTTTATAAATGGCAAAATTCTTCGCAAGAATTCAAATATTTTCAAATATTTCCATAAAATTCAATTATTTCCTAAATTTTTTAATAATTTCTTCGAAAAAATTTAACTATTTTTATAAATATTAAATAAATTTTCAAAATTTACAATAGAGGAGAGTTTCAATAATTGAAATTTTGTAAAATTTAATTGAAAATAATTAATTTTTTCAAAGTGTTTGATAAAAAATTTTGAAAATAAACTTTAAAAGAATTTTAATTGCAAATTTTGAAAATAATTGATTTCTCAAAAATTTTAATGAAAAATCTTCAAGTGTAAATTTAAAAACACAAATTTCCAAAAATTCAAATTTTTGTGACGACACTGAATTAAATAAACGACTTTTTCGACTTTTTTTCTATTTCAAATCGACTAAAGCAACTTTTTTTGCACCTTAAAGTCGATCCGAGGCCTGTATTTATTTAAAAAAGAAGTTATTGATGTTTTCGAATAATTTTTGAATTAAAGAAATTGGTAAATAAATGTAATTGAACTTTTTTTTCAATATCTAATCATTTTTCGAGTAAATCAAAATATTCCTTCGGGTCAAGGAAAAAGTCAAAAAAATTTTCTGAAAATCAGGAAAAAAACAAAATTAAATTTTTGTGGCAACCTTGATTCACACAATTTTTTGTAGAAAGTTTAACTTTAATTAAGGTATAAAATAATTATTTTGTCACTAATTTTTATTTTTTCTTGCAGGTTGAAAAGATCGTTACTATTATGAGTAATCCCAGACAGTATAAAATTCCTGACTGGTTCCTCAACAGGCAAAAAGATATTGTTGATGGAAAGTACTCACAGGTGGGTTGTTTATATATTAACAGAGATTTTGTAAAACTTTTGAACGATTATTATTTAAAAAGTATAAAATATTTTATTTTTAAAGTATAAAATATTTTATTATTAATAAAGTTATATTCTTTATATTTGTTAGCTTTAATAAAAAGCCCTTCTCTGTAATATTCCATTGGAGAAGATTTTTTAAGAAAATTTGTTACATTTCGATAATTTAGAATAAGAAATTATTTACGTAAAGATTTCTGTATTTTTTTTTGTCTTTAAATTTTCTTTAGTTTGTTAAAATTTTATTCAGTGCATTAAAAATTAAAAAATTATTTAAAGTTTAAATAATGCATTGAATTTTGTAGAAAAAAGAAAATAATTGTCTAATTTTGAATTTTTGAAATAAAATAAAGAAATTATTTTTTTTCTTCAGCTCACGAGTTCCAATTTGGACTCAAAACTTCGTGAAGATTTGGAACGTATGAAGAAAATTAGAGCTCACCGAGGTCTACGTCACTATTGGGGCCTTCGTGTTCGTGGTCAACACACCAAAACCACTGGCAGACGTGGAAGAACTGTTGGTGTCTCTAAAAAGAAGTAAACCAATTCTTTATATCTATTTCTTTCAATAAAATTTAAAAAAAAATTATAATTTACAAGTGTCAATTTCTTTTTTCTATCCTTGTTATGACGTTGTTAGAGAAAAAAGTAGGCCTAGGATATTGACTTTTTCGACTTTTTTTAAAACTATTTTCAAATAATGCGATTTTTATCGCATTTGAAATTTGAAAATTTGAAAATTCTTTGAAAAAATTTAATTATTTTCATAAAATTTTAATAACATTTCTCGGAAATTTTTTACAGGGAATAAAAAGAGATATAAATATGTTTAATTTATTTATTTAATTATAAACTGGACATACGGTGCACATACTCTGAATTCACACAAAAGACTAGAACAATTGAGTATACTATTTATTATTCTAAAATTATACTGTTTCTGAAATTAATTGTTAAATCAGCTTGTAGAAACCAAATTAGTTTTCACCTCTTCGAAGTAAATTTAATTAATGTCAGCATTTCAGTATCTGAGGTTTTCAGAAATCGATGTGTAATGATACACTTGTTTTTGTTTCCGGAATACGAAATTGTACGTTTGTCAAAAAATTACAGTTCCGCAGAAGGTCGAAAGAAAAAAGTAATTGAGAGGAGGTTTGAAGAATTCAAAAATTGATACTTAGTTCGAAACTACATTCATAAAATAATAGGGAATACAAAAATTATTTATTGGCATTGATATAATCATCTCCAGTGGAAATTTTGTATGTACCCTTTAATCATGCTCGAATAATTATAATTTGATACCTACAGATTTATGAAATTAACCTAATCTGATCTTTGATGGAAATCGGACCCAAAATAGGTGCTGAAGAACTCACGGATTGTAGGGGAGCACAATTTTTTTGGAATCGTAGAAAAATTGCAATGATAAGCAATTGTAATGATTAAAGCTTTTGTTGTCAATAATGAGTTCCGGACATCATCAGAACCGTCAACTTCATTACCAAGAGAATGTTACCTCAATTTTTCTCAAGATTCTATTCACGATTAATTCAATAACAAAAGCGAAAATAGATAAGATGTGTCCAATGGCAAGAAGATACAGCAGCTGATGTAGGATCACTTTAGAACGTGGTATTTCGAAGTTACAAGATTTACCAATTTTGGAAGAAATATATTTCCGTGATTCATAGAGTTTCAGCCACTTGATTGCTATTCCAGAATCAATTAATCTCTGAATGATTTCATCAATACGTTTTCCATAAGGAGTGCCTGCTCCAAGCCAACATTCGTCTTCACTTGCTCGAAGTAGTCTGAGAATATAATGCTATGTTTATACTCAAGTCCAGAAGTTTTCAAAGATCGAAGTAATAATAAGTTTGTGATTTGTAAATGCAAAATCGAATGTAAAGTATATGTAGGGGACAAAAAATTATAGTTCTGCTGAAGGTCGAATATATGAGTCCCTTTCACCGTAAAGCGTCATATATAGTCCAGGAAGAAACAGACAATTCATTGACAATAAAATACCGCCTTGAATTTTTCTCAAGGACCAATTTACGATTAATTCAATAATGAAAGTGAAAATAGAGAAGATGTATCCGATGATGGGCAGAAGCAACAGCTTAATTATGATTATTTTGGATTGTGATACTTCAGAAACGCAAGATTGACCAATTTGCGCAAAAGTATATTTCCGCAGTGTGTAAAGTTGCACCCACTTCGTTGATATTCCAGAAGCAATAATCCTTTGACTTATTTGATCTATACGTTTTGCATAAGGTGTACCTGATCCAAGCAACACGAAACCAGGACCAGATAAAAATCCATCTACAATAAATTTAGTAAGTGGTTGTCCGCATTTATCAATTTTGTTTCGAATTAAAAATCCTGCTCGGCCAACAGTAGCAATGCATGTCCAATTTTGGTACTTTAGTAATAGTTCCACGCATTCAAGATCAGAATATCTAGAAACGGATTTGTTTAAGATTTGCTGTAAAACCACATCTTCAATATTCCTATGTACGAAACGGAAGTTTTCGTTACCATTTATTTGTAAATTTGAGTTAAGAACTTCCTGTAAATTTTCATATTCAAATGACGATTCCGTTATCAACTGAACGTCCGCTATCGCTGTGAAAATTTCCGAAGAGAACGCAAGACAGCCGAATAAGAATGCAGCAAAAACGATTCTTTCAACACATTTTGTTGGTTCATTCGGAGTTGGGATTCCAAAAATTATTCGATAAAGATACTCGATTTTCCATGTTCTTGGTTGGAATCTCATAATTTTTGACACAATCCAAACGAGAAGGGGCAAAATCATAACAGTCAATGCTTTTTTTATTTGCCAGTCGATTTCAATAGATAATTTTCTCACAACAGGCACAATCATACCAAATTGAAATCTTCTTAAACCTTTGCAAAATTCTACCTTTCGGCTTTTGTATAATCCGACGGGACCCTCGTATGCCGACAATTGGACTTCGTTCCTCCTTAGAGACAAATAAACACCCGGAGTCATATTTTTAAAATATTTCAATGTTCCCCAAGTTTGATTTTTTAATGCCACGAGTGTGAAATTCATGATTTGACTAAATGTTTTCAATTTTTCGATTGCTAATCCACTGTAGTGGACACTTCCAGATTTAGTTTCGTGTCTAAATACATCTGGAGGGCTATGTATTAAACTTGTTATTAGAGGGTAACGGTGTAAATTTTTCATTTTGTCCGGAAACCAAATGGTTCTGAAGGAGGCAACATTTTTTGATAACTTCCTTGAGAAAGGATTGTAGTTGATAATTGTATCTCTGACTTGTTCTGTGTCGAATTGTAAATCACTTTTCTCCAGGGAGACAATAGTGACATCTAAGAACTGTTGCAACCAAAGTGCTGTGAAAAATTTTCTGTAATTTGGTAGTTCCTTGGTGAGGAGTACCAAACATTTTGGACGTCGTCTTTCATTTGATAGTTCCTTTAGATAATCAAATTGATAGTCGATCTCGGGATTTGTGATAATAAAAAGCGATACTCTTGGATTGTAATTTACGGAATCGTTACTTGTCAGTGAATTGTTAGCAGAATTTTGTAAAATGATTTTGCGAACTGGTATATTGCTGGATATTTTCTTAATTAGATCATTATATCGTGAATTGGATGGGATTATCGCATCATCATTAAATAAAATAATTACCTGATGAATTTTCTGATCGCTTTTTATATTTTCGACGAGACTGTCAATCCACTTAGTATTAGCATTTGTTTTCAAACTGTGGAGGATTATTAATCCTACAATGGGTATCAACTTTATAGAAATTTTCATGTTCACTTCTTGATTTTTAAAAATTGCAATTTTTAAAGCAACTTTTTCTGTTTGTTTTCACTTTACTAGTGGTTATCGGTGAATGTTAAAATGTGTCAGTTCTTGCATATCAGAGTTTTCCAAACCTCAAGGTAATGATATATTTGTTTGTGATTCGAAAAAAAAAATTGAACGTAATTTGCAGGTTCGTTCAAAAATTATACTCCTACAGAAGGTAGGAGAGAAAATAATGATTCTTTCGCTTTCTCAAGGATAAAGTAAAGAAATTCTAATTCTAAAAGAGAATTTAAAAATTGATACTTTAACCGATTCTTTAATAATAATTGTAATTTGAGAGCTATTGATTTTTTGCTCATTTAAAGAAATTTGAAATATTTGAAAAAAATAGGGGAAGGATTGATTATCTCCAAGTTTTTGTACTTTTGCTTGTTACTTAAATAAATTAGAGATGTCTCTCAGTTGAGTAACCAATACACCAAAGTTTCTTACGGCGACAACATAATTGGTGGCAGTGCTAGGATTTTAATCGACTTTTGATTTTGATATAGGAATCAAAACATAAACAATATTTATTTTTGATAATAGTATTTAGATGCCTTTTACGGTTAAAGATGTTCGTTCATTACAAAAAATTGTATAAATTGCTACAAGTTTCGATACTTTGATTAAGTCCTCATCAGGCAATTTTTAATAATAATAAATAAATTTTTAATCTTAAAACGAACATAAGCAAATCAAAAACACATTTGTAATGAAAATTAATATCCCAGTAAACAAAAACTAATTGAAATAAATTAAAAACAATTCACAAAGAGTTTCAGTGAATTCCGCTTTGTGACAAATACGAATTGGAACTATGTTGCAATTTTCCTGAATTCGTCAAACTGTATTGAACTTCCAAACCTTCTATATTCATACTAATTCAATGGACAAGTTTATAACGTGAATTTATCTTATCATCTAATAATTTTAATGGAAAACCATTTTCTAAAAGTGTATTTTTAATAATTATTAAATTATCTTTATGAAAAGATGGATGAGATAATTTAATTGCTCTATCAACTAGAGAGTAAATATCAATTTTTTGCGATAAAAGATGTTGTGATGCAAAATTAATATAACGTCCAGACCAATTACTTTTTCGGTACCAGTTAGTCTTTATTATTTTCAACTATAAGTGAAAAATCTAAAAAATTAATTATATTATTTTTCCAATACTCTAAAGTGAATTTTAAGTTTTTATTAGCATATTATTAAATTTCGTTAAAATTTCCTGATTTTGTTTGATGGAGCACAAATAAGGATATCATCTATATATCTAAAATAAAAAATGATTTTAAAAGTGAAAGAATTTCGTCCTCTAAATCTTCCATTACCAAATTTGCAGTACTAGATGAAATTGGAGATCCCATGGGTAATCCAAAGATTTTTTTTATAAAATTCATTATTATAAGTACAATAAGATGATGATAAAGAAAAATCTAAAGCCTTAATAAATTCGTCTTTAGAAAAAGTAGTATATTTTTTAATAATATTCCATCGATCTCGAACTGATGTTTTAATTTTCTCCCATGAGATATTTGTGTACATAGACACCACATCCAGGGAGAAAATTTCAAAATTGTCAGGAATAAATTTAATGTTATTAATCTTACGTTTGAAGGACCAAGAATCTTTAATGAAATGGCTATTATTTTTATTTAAAGTTTTAGAAATGTAATAATTTGAAATTATAACATTATACTGTATATAGTAAGCAGTAATTGGTC